ATTTAAAGCAAACCAAGCCCTATAAGAAGAAAGAAAAAAGAAACCTATAATAGAAGAAGAACGAATAAAGAATATACCGCTAGAATACCGAAAGTATAGTAGGTTGTTTAAGGAAACCCTCGAAATAGGTATTCCGTAATATAGTTAGTGGGATCACGAAATCTATCTTAAAACTGGAACCTCGACTAAGTTCTATAAGCTCTATAACCTTAATAAGAAGTAACTTAAAATATTACGAGAATATATCGACGAAATACTTAAGAAAGGCTATATTCGAACCTCTACCTCGGAAGTAGGATATCCCGTTATATTCGTGCCAAAAAAGAATAGGAAGTTACGACTAGTCGTGGACTATCGGTAGCTTAACGATATTACGATTAAAGATAGGACACCCCTGCCGCTTATTAACGAGCTTAAGGATAGACTTCACGGCAAGAACTGGTTTATTGCTCTTAACCTAAAAGGAGCCTATAACCTAATCCGTATAAAGAAAGGAGACGAATAGAAGACAGCTTTTCGCACTAAGTTCGGTCTATTCGAGTATTTAGTAATACTATTTAGCCTTACTAATACTCTAGCTACCTTCTAACGAATAATTAATAACGTACTTAGGGAGTACCTAGATATCTTCGTTATAGTATACCTAGACGATATTCTAATCTTCTCGGAAAACCTTAAAGAATATAAGAAATACGTCCACTAGGTATTGAAAACACTTTAAGATACGAACCTCTTAGTTAACCTAGAAAAGAGCGCGTTTTATGCGTAAGAAACCGTCTTCCTCGGACACACGATCCGACTAAACGAAATCCTAATAGAATAAATAAAGATTAATATAGTTAAAGAATAGCCTGTGCTAATAACGCTTAAGGAAGTATAAGCGTTCGTGGGATTTGCGAACTATTATCGACGCTTTATACGCGACTTTGCGAAAATCATAGTATTACTCACGGGACTTACTAAGGGAAAAGGAGAATTCAAGTAGGAAACAGAGTAACAAAGGGCATTCGAAGGATTGCGAGATACTATATTATTAAATATAGTACTTATAACCTATAACCCTAAAAGACTACTCGAATTAGAAACAGACGTATCGGACTACGCCATAGGAGCGTAAATTAGTTAACGAGACGACGATAGTAACGTACGACTAATTATATTCTTCTCGAAGAAACTCTACGGCGCGGAACTAAACTACCCTATTTACGATAAGGAATTCCTAGTAATTATCGCAGCTATTAAGGAATTTAAGCACTATATGCTAGGGACGAAGTTTATTACTAAAGTTTATACCGATTACTAAAATATCTCTTACTTCGCGATAATATAAGAACTTAGCGCACGATAAATAAGATACGCCGAATTCTTAGCCGATTACGATATTGAAATTATCTATCGGAAAGGTTCGGAGAATAGTAAAGTAGATATACTTAGCCGCCGACTAGACTACGATACCGAAGTATTAAAAGCTAAGGGCTAGATACTTCGATAAAATAACAAAGGAAACTACGTATAAATAGTACTTAACCTTCTTATATTTAGAGTGGAAGTAGACACTATATACTACGATAAAATATTAGAATAGGTATTAAAATATAAAAAAGAAATACCTAACGACTGCGCGATAGAAATAGGAAAAGGACCTACTAGGAATAGATTACTTTGGATACCACCGCCGCTACGCGATAAAATCTTAATTAATATTTATACGTATCCTACGGTAGGATACTAAGGAGTTAGAAAGACTCTTAAACGAATACGACGAACGTACGACTACTAAGGAATTAAGGCAGACGTCGCGCGTATCGTCGGATAATACGAAGATTACGCACGTAGTAAGGCTGCCCGGCATAAACTATATAGAGAACTAAAGCTACTACTAGTGCCTTCAAGACTATGGGAATCAATAGCCTTCGATTATGTCACGAAGCTACCTAAGTTAAAGGAACTAGGATCTAACGTCGAATACGATAGTATATTCGTTATCACGGACCGAATAAGCAAATTCGGATATTTCCTACTATATTAAGAAGTAATAGACGCAGAGATACTCGTATATACGGTGCTTAAATATATCGTGGCTAACCACGGCCTTCCGGAAGAAATTATTTCGGATCGAGGAACGATATTTACCTCGAAGTTTTGGCAAGCATTGATAGCTTAGCTTGGGACTAAATATAAGCTTAGTATAGCTTACTACCTATAAACGGATGGATAGATAGAAAGATTGAATTAGATATTGGAATAGTACTTACGGTGCTATATTAACTATGAATAGGATGATTGGGTCTCGAAGTTACCACTCGCCTAACTCGCCTATAATAGCGCACCTATGGAATTAACTAAAATCTCACTATTCTACGCGAACTACGGATACGAACCCGAGTTCGGTAATAAAACACTAAGGGATAGACCTCTTGCTAAAAAAGCTATACTTAAAGTAGATTAATTACGCTTACTATATAAATATATAAAGAAATAGCTCGAATTCGTACGTATACGAATATCGAAGTACTATAATTAGAAAAGATCGAAGGGACCGATCTTTCGGAGGGGAGATATAGTCTACCTACTACGTAAAAATTTCATAATAACTCGACCTTTACCGAAGCTCGATTATAAAAAACTTAGACTATTTAAAATTAACGAAGTTATCTTAGATACTAACTACAAACTTTCACTACCCTTAAGTATAAGGATATACCTAGTTTTTTATATTTTATTACTCGAAAAGGTACCGTAAAACGCAAAAACAAACTACGAACTAGAAGTTCTTAAAGAACTCTACGAACTAGAACGAATCCTCGACAAACAAATAATTAACGGAGAAGTTAAGTACTTGGTCAAATAGAAGGGCTATACGAATAGCGAAAATATATGGGAACCACTTAAATACCTAACGAACTGCTAGGATAAGGTCCGCTATTTCTATCGCTCTAACCCGACGCCTGGGCATGCTGTAAGGCAGATATAGTAAAATCCTCTATAAATAAGGGCTCCGGGGGACCACTGCTAAAACACTCCTCCTAATTTTCTATGAAATCTAGAGTCACTAGACTATCTGTCGAAGAACGAGCTGCGAGATTACTAGACATAGAGGCATCCGATTAGCGAGTACTCTCACGCTCGGCCTCCTCACGCTCGACACGCTCTAGTTCCTCTACACTATCGATACCACGAGACACGGCTCGTATTATCTTTTCAAACTATAATTTCTTTTGTTTTCGAAGACGCTCTACCTTGGCGTCTATTATACGACGAGCTTCCTCCGCCTTTTCTAATTTAGATTCGAAGCGGGTGTGTTACGCAGTAATTCGATATAATTACTATAGCGAAAGCGCTTTAATATCGCAATAAGAAAGGTTAAGACGGACGCACTTAAAATAGCGCGAAGAATCCTCCTCGGAAGTAATGTATTTGCGATCGTTCTTTTCGCAAGTAGAATAAGTATTCTTTATTTTTACGGAATTTAGGAACACGACCTCGAGAAGAGCGTTACGTTATTCGGTTTTTTGGGAACGAAAGTTGCGATTTTTCGTAACGCGGTCTGGTATTTTGATTAGTATACCGCAGGAAGAAGGAGTAAGAAGCAAGGAACGTATATCACGGGAACTAACACGGTTTTGAGATCTTGGGATAAGATCCTGGGAGAGGAGATATTATGTTACGACCTAATATGCGACCGCATGTGCCGCTATGCGGCCCGCACGTGATATGACGCATAACCCACTCTTTTTCACTAGTTACTTTGGATTATCTATAAAACACTATGATCCGGATTATCGCACTTATCTTATGAGCCTTATAATCCACGGGTATTATTCGCTTTATATAATGATCCCCTTAGTATATAGGAAGCCTAGCTTTACTATAGTCAGTCTCTACCAGCTCCTTAGCTATTAATATAATTGTCTACGCAAGATCCACTATCTCGCACATAGACTGTGACCCGACCGCTTAAGTCAACGACATCCTAGTGTACTTAGTTTAAACCCGACTTCTATTCTATCTACCCGGTAGCTAGTCTAGACCCGAACGTCACACCAAGCTATTCACGCGGAGCCTTGTTAGCGGCGGGGCTCGAACAGTGGACCTCGAACAGCAGCCCCCTGCCCGACCGGGCCACCAGCTCTTTTCGATCAAATTGTAACGGTTACGCCTAACCGTTGCGCCATGGGCAAAAGATCAGGCATTGATCGAATGACGAGCGATCAATACAGGCGTAATAGCTGCTTATAGGGGGTTACGAGGGACTAGGTCGTAACACGCGGTCGAGGGCCAAGTCTACGGCGCCAGGCGAACGGTCGCAAAGGGAATTAACGCTAGCTTTAATTCGGGTTAAATCAGAGCTAAATCTAGCACCCTACGAGCCGATCAGCCTTAAAGCCTTCCTATAAGACCTAGCGGGTGGGACACGTAGCGAGACGGCCCTATCTAAAGCGTCGGATAATATAGACCTCTTGCTAACTAAGATCGGCGCCCTTAAGGCACCCGACGAAACAGCCGATAAGGCACTCGCTAAGGCACCCGATAAAGTAGCCGATAAGGAACCCGCTAAGGCACCCGATAAAGCAGCCGATAAGGCACCCGCTAAGGCACCTTATAAGGCAGTTAGGAAGAGGCCAAGGGCGCCTACAGCGGGTAGCGTTAATAAAGAGGTACGACCTCGCCGTTCACGGCGTGAAGCTAGGCCAACCGCCCGGGCGCGGCGGTCGTAATCAAATTTACAGCTATTTACAACCTCACTTATAGCCTCACTTTATAACTAATTGAATACGAATATATATCTTGCTCAAGAACTTTAGCGCCTCCGTGATAACTACTACACGCTTTATATAAAAAATAAATACTATCATCACGAAGTCTGCTATCGCTAGATCACAGCAAATTGATTTATTTATTATAGAATTGAATTCTATGGCGTGCGTAGCTCTTTGGGTGAGGCTGTAATGACGAGGGTGCGTATGTGTGTTGTGTGGTGGTTGTGCAATTGGTCATTGATACCGTTGGCACCTTGTGATCTAATATCCCACCGTACCCGGGAATAAGGCTGCCGATCTCGCCACATTTGGGGCGCAAACCTCGTTTTTGACCAAACGCGACGCGCGTTGCTTCTGCAACTTACCCCAGAATCAGGACTGCCGCCATGTCCCTCCCTCCTCCAGCATGGGACATCTCGAAGGACAGGCATTGCTGCTCTCACAATCGCCTACATGGATCGACAAGCTGGCCAGCTGGGCGCAGTCGGGGTGGCCTCACGCGGCGATAGCTCTCACAGCGGCGGTCTGGGCGGCTGCTTCACGCCTCGCTCAACCGGCTGCGCAGCCTCGCCCGAGGACTCTGCTCATAGTATGGAAATACGAACTGCCCATCCAGCTCACCAGGATCGCCCCGATAGCGCTGCTCGCCGTCTCACACGCGTATCGCGACGTCGCCATCCTTGCGTACGGCCTCACGCTCGGTCTCGCGAGACACGCGAGCAGCCCGACACGGAGACGCTCCACCCTCCGCCAGGTCAACTTTGTCTACACAGCTGTGTTCTGTCTGCATCTGGCAGCGCGATATCTCTCTTGTCTGCGTCAGGGCACGCACTGCCACCACAGCCCCGTGGTCACGGCGGCAACCGTTTTCCTGGCCCTCCATGTCGCCCTCCTCGTCGTGACGCCGCAACGTCTCAGCGGTAGTCCGTCGCCCGAAGAGGAGTGTAGCTTGCTGGGGTCCTGTACGTATGCATGGCTGGACCCCGTTATATGGAAAGGCGTGACCAAGAGGTTGGACATGTCTGGCATGCCCGCCCTGCCCTGGTACAATGACCCCCAACTCCTGTTCCGCCGGCTACAGAGCGCTCGTAGTGTCTCCCGAAACACTTTTCGCACAATCCTGCGCTTCCAGGGCCGGCACATTATGCTCATGGCCGCATGGTGCATGGCCGCCCAGTGCTTTGACAATGTCGCTCCTTTTAGCATGTTCAAGCTCCTAGAGTACCTGGCAGAACCTGACGCTGCCGTCTACAGACCAGGCGTGTGGCTCGCTCTCGTATTTCTCGGCCCCGTGGCCAGGTCACTCTGCCACCAGCAGTACATATTCAACTCGACGCGTCTCGTCGTCCGCGTCAAGTCCGCCATGACGCAGGAACTGTACAGCGTCGCTCTCTCCTCGATGCAAGCTGACACCTCGAGTGGGCGGCTTCTCACCCTCATGGCGGCGGACATTGATGGCTTTCTGCGGGCGCGCAGCGCGGTGATGGCACTGGCTGGGATATCCACAGGAACTCTCATTGCGTTTTTCGGCATGTATCGAATGTTTGGCTGGCCGTCGCTCGTCGGCATGGCGATTCTGCTCCTGGCCATTCCCGTTTCCGTGTGGCTTGGCCGCCATATCTTCAAGCGGCAGAGGCTGGCGAGAAAGGCCCAGGACTCGCGAATATCATTGATAGCAGAGTATCTGTCTTCGATCCGTGTCGTCAAGTACTTTGCCTGGGAGGAATATGTCAGTGCCCAGGTTGGCGCACGTCGCGCTGACGAGCAGAAGGATCTTTGGCGCGTGTCGGTTCTTCAAGCCCTCGCCAACCAGATTACCCAAATCTTCCCCTTCTTGGCGCTGCTGATCATGTTTGGCTTGCACGTCGGCCTCCAGAAGAAGCCACTGACCGCTTCGATTGCCTTCACCACTTTGTACCTGGTGAGAAACCTGCGCAGGAACATTTTGCAGGCGAGCCAAGTCGCTAGAAATGTTGCTGGGGCTCTTGTCTCCTTGGAACGCCTGGACGAGTACTTTGACACGGCAGTCCTCAAACCGAAGCTCCCGCAAGGACCCCTTCGGATGCAGAATGCCACGGTTCGTCGGCATGAGCTGGATCCCGGACTGAAGGATGTGTCTATCGACTTTGTTGAGGGGGGCCTGAACGTGATCTCTGGAAACAGTGGAAGTGGTAAGACGACACTTTTGCTATCCATCTTGGGCGAGATCCAGCTCATGGAGGGCTCCATAAACGCCCCTGAAGATATTGCCTATGCTCCGCAGACAAGCTGGCTCCAGAATCTGTCCATCAAAGCCAACATTGTCTTCGGTGTCGAATCCGACCAGCTATGGTACAACCGCATTGTCGACGCATGCCGCCTTCGGACGGACCTTGCTGGTTTGCCAGAGGGGGAAGATACCCATGTTGGCGAGAATGGCGCTTCATTATCGGGTGGACAAAAGGCACGCGTAGCCCTGGCGCGAGCCCTGTATTCCCGGGCACCTCTCCTCCTGCTGGACGACATCTTCTCAGCACTCGATGCCAAGACGGCAGCCGGTATTTGGGAAGACTGTTTTTGTAGCAGGCTTTTGCAAGGCAAGACTGTAGTTTTGGTAACTCAACTGCCGTGGATTGCCTCCCAGGCTGATCTGAACATCATCCTTGATGGCGGAAAGATCCAAAAGACCGAGGCTCACCTTGGCGTAGTGCGCCGACCTATACATGCCCAGGTGGCCGAGCAGGTTGTACAAAGAGAACGGAAAGATGTGGATGGACCGAATATCGCGGCGAGAGAGACACAGAGTGCTCTGGTCGATCAGGAAACCAAAGCATCCGGGCACATGGGTCGCCTGACATGTAGGTTTCAACCCCGTCATTACTCCCAGAAGCAAGCTAATGAATAGTCCTTCACTATATGCGTTACTTTGGACATCCGCTGTTTACCGTGGTCTGCCTGGCATGTCTTGCCGGTTGTGGATTACTGACGTTTGTCAGCGCGTACTGGCTGTCGATCTGGGTCGAGGCGTATCAACATCAGGGCCATGTCAATGCGGCATACTACCTGGGCATCTACGCCGCCTTGACAGTGTCGGAAATTGCGCTCTTTGCCTCGCTGATCATTCTGTTCGAATGGGGCGGTTGGCGCGCAGCGCGTATGCTGCACAGCGAGTTCATCGCGGCCGTCACGCGCGTCTCCCTGTCCTGGTACAGGGCCATACCTGTCGGACGGGTGACGAATCGGTTCGCAGGCGACATGGCATCGATCGACAACTCTCTCAGTAGTGTGCTGCGCCTCAGCCTCGAATCACTGAGCCAATTGTTCTTCCGCCTCGCCGCCGTCAGCTCCATCATGCCCATCTTCATGTTGCCAGCGCTATGCACATCGCTATGCGGCATCGTGGTGGCGGAAATGTATACGCGGACAGCGGTCATCGTCAAGCGTCTCACTTCATCCTCGCAAAGCCCCGTCTTCTCACAATTTGCCGATACACTGGCCGGCATGTCGGTGATCCGCGCCCGAGCTGGCATGGCGCGGTCGTTCCAGGAGGCCCTTGCGCAGAAGATGAGCATCTACTCTCGTGCTTTCGAGACCAGCCTTGACTGTAACCGCTGGGTGGCCGTGCGTGTGGATTTCATCACGAGTCTCGTGGTCTTGCTTGCCGGTATTATCGCTATTTCGAAAGCCGGTGTGATCGGAGCCGGGCTTGTGGGGTTCTCGCTCTCCAATGCCAACGACTTGAGTACGACCATCTTGGTCCTCGTGCGAAGCCTTAATGATCTGGAGGTCGAGATGCAGAGCTTCCATCGTGTCAGAGAGTACGTGAAACTAGCCCCCGAGGATCAGAACGACAAGCCCTATCCAGAAGAAGGGTTATACAGTGACGGCCCGTGCATACCAAGGGACTGGCCGTCATCCGGTGAGGTCGAGTTTCGCAATGTAACAGTGCGTTACCGCGAGGACGGGCCAGATATTCTGAAGGATGTGAACCTCAAATTCCGGCCTGGGGAGCGTGTCGCGATCGTCGGGCGGACAGGTTCGGGCAAGAGTACGGTAAGTTAAGTTGTGCGCGCGCAGGAGTTCGGTAGTTGCTAACTCAAGCCAGCTTGTGCTCTCGCTTCTTCGGTTCACACATGTTGTGTCCGGCCAGATTCTCTACGACGGGCTTGACATCACCAAGGTGCCTCGACAGCGTCTCCGCAAAGCTCTCACCGTCATCCCGCAAGAAGCGGTCCTCTTCACTGGGACGGTAGGTTCAAACATGGATCCTTCGGGGCAGACGTCTCCCGATGCTCTGCAGCGAGTGCTGGACTACTGCCATTCCGTCGCCTCCTTCGACGATGCGGAGGCCGAAAGTGCCATCCAACTGGACACCGTTGTCCAGGCCGGGGGCGAGAACTTTTCACACGGCCAGAGGCAGGTTTTGTCTCTGTGCCGTGCCATATTGCGCCACAATCGACTGATGCTGTTTGACGAGGCCACGGCCAATATGGACTACGTGACGGACGAGGGCATACAGCAGATCTTGCGCGCGGAGCTGGACAAGGAAGGTGAACGTACGCTGGTGACCGTGGCGCATCGTCTACGTACAGTAATAGACTACGATCAGGTGGTCGTGATGGGTGCAGGGCGTGTCGTCGAGGTGGGAAGCCCTCGGGAGCTTTTGGCGGCAAAGGGGCCGTTCCACGAGATGATTCAGCACAGCGGGGAGGGGCACGTGCTGGAGGATGCTTAAGCGTATTACTTGTGCCTGTTACAAGTGCCATCACGATGTCCCTCGCCGAACTTCGCAACAACATCGCCAATCACCAATGCCGTCAGCCCCTGTGTGGCTCATAAGGCTCAATCCTGATAGACAAAGCTGGTTGTGTATGTGTCAGGCTATGCTATGTTAGTATTGAATCGTGATCGCCGCAAGTTTGATCGAATCCAAACATCGCGACTCCCATTTGGTGGTCCTAACTTGTGGATCGAGATGAAAATGACTCGCTCTTGAAACTTGAGGAAGAACAATGCCGCACTGTATCATTTGACAAGGGATCAATACTTGAATCAATGCAAGAGCCAATGCTTTCAACCCTCACGCAGCCACTCTAGCAAAATTGGTGCACCAAGTATCATTGACCTATTGATCTTGTCGATTATTGGGGCAAAGAAACATCAAATGCCATGAACAAATCATCGCTTCTTGCCATTATTGTTCCTCTGCGGAGAACCCGTACTCAAATCCATCGATTTATGTCCAATCTTTGCCCTGTATCCCAAGTTCGTGCCGCATAAACCTGTGGCGAGCATGAATCTCCCATGAGCGATTCCTCAATCTCCGTAATCTTGCTGTGGAATCAAAGGCGCACAACTGTGCCGGGACATGCCGTGAGACGAAGCAACCATGTCGTTAACAATCCAGAAATCTCAGTAGAGACCAAGGATCGACTCGCTGGAGAGCGCAGTGCCAATTTGAGTCAAATGTCCAAATCGACACTTTCGGTGGGGCACTGCTCTTGAGTGTCGTTGGGAGTTCGAAACATGCTGGGCGTAAATAACACCCAGCGATGATATGTTGATCGTCGTCTCCAAACCCGGCATTACATGTGCTGAGGGAATTCTGGCTAAGTCGAACATACTCAATGCGAGCTGCTGTTGATCGTCTGAGCACAGATGGAAAGTCGATTGCATGCCATGAACCACATCCGAGGGATCGGAGTTAAGAACGATGAGACGTGAGGGGAGGAGGGGTGGGTAGAGAGAACGGTGAGGTGACGATTTGTACCTGACGGTAGTATTCATAGTCTCGACCAAAGAAGGGGAGGATCTTCCTTCTATTTTGGGATCAATAGGCTCAACCCGAGTGTTGGTAGCGACTTCTGATATGTCGACCGAGAAGGAACGTTAGATTTGTAGAACAGTGGCAGCCAAAACGGGCCGGAGCGAGCTGGAACCAGTCAGTGATAGATCATCCACAGCGGCACCTGACTAGAATGACGATACTTACCGAGATCGAATATGAAGGCTTTTGACTCATAATGGAGTAAGTAGTACCTAGGTGATAAGAGATACCCCCAGCAACCGACGTGGCTCTCGGCTGGGGGCGTTGCTATTACCGAAAACCAGAAGAAGCGTCACAAAGTGTCGACACTCAGAGGTAGACAGCCTCGATCTTTTACCCGCGGTAATGAGTGCCGAGGGGGGGGGGGAGAAGAGAAGTTGAGGGTTGAGAGTCGGGGACTGAAGAGTTGGAGAGTTGAGGGTTGATTAAATATGAGAATGAAGTGAGCATCAGCTAACTGACGCGCACTGAAAAGACCCCGTGGTGATTATAGCATCAGCACAACAACAAATAACACCCACCCTTTCCCCCGTGCTGATTCTCCGGCCTCCGGAACAATACTTGCTTGGTATAGTACTACCTGTAGTAGCGTTGGCAAGTCACGGATCTAGACGTAGTAATAAGTGCTTAGCCAATCTAGCACTCGATCTGGTCAGGCCTTTTGAGCTCTACCCAATCTCCCTAATTCACTATCGTGCCGGATTGAGTGAAGGCTGGTTTTAAATAGAAGAGTTCTTTTGCCTCTGATAGTATATCTCCTTCCATAATCTGTGGTGTCCTTTCTCTGGGTTGACTTGGCGTCGGCTCATCTATGGTATATTACATACCAATGTAGTTGGGTTCGATGGCATTGATCTAATGTGACTTCAAGTATTACAAGTGACTCAATATATTGTCCTGGACACGAAACATCAGCGGTAGGACACTTTCACGGTAGTGACAGTGGACTTCTGGACGTAGTAGTATTCTCGATTTCGCTAGCCTATATAATAGTATTGACAGAATCATCTCGATCTCTCTATAAACAGTCTATAGCCTAGCTACGTGATTACAAGACTCTCCTCCCTCCGGCCACCACACATCAACCAGTGCCGCGCAGTCCACCATCTAGTAGGGCTCCGGGATGGAGCGCGACTGAGACGCCAAGGCATTGCACTTGCCGTCGGGCTTGAAGGTAGGTTTGTTGCCGGCATCATCGTGTGGGCGCCGTGCGTGACGCAGAGCTTGCCTCCGATCCAGTTCGCGCCGTGGCAGTACGAATCCTCGCCGCGAGCCTTTGCGCAAGATGCAATGCCCGTCGCTTTCTCCAGCGTCCAGCTGTTGTGGCTCCTGTAGCAATGGCCGCAGTAGAGCCTAAAACCCTCGCCGCCGGCGATGACGAGATCGCCATTGTTCTTGTTGCACTCGGGCTTCTCGACGGGGAGGGCCTCGCCGTTGAGCTGGTCGCAATTCTTCTTGCAGCCCTGGCAGGCACCGGCGCAGCCGAGAGAGTGGGCGCTGACAAAGGCGTCGGCGGAGATGGACGGGCGTGCGGTGTTGGTGCTGTAGAAGCACTTCTTGGTGCGAGGCTCGTAGTCGGCCGACAGGCAGGCAGGCATGGCGGCGCACGAGGACATGCAGGCCTCGAACGAGGGACGATTGTCAATCTTGAGGTAGGTGGTGCCGTGACGGGCCTTGCAGGTCATGAGGTAATTCTCGCCGCTCGGGGTCGCGTACAGCTGGCCATCCGCCTCGGGGCAAGTCGTCGCGCAGCGTTTGGCCTCGCTGAGGATAGGCTCGGTGGTGGGAGGGTCAACAACAAAGGCGTAGTGCGCACCGTCGACCTTTGTCGTGGAGAACTGGCCGTCCTTGTAGAGGCGACAGTTGGCGGTTCCCTCGGTAGGGACCATGTCTGGGACGAACATGAAGCTCTTGCACGCCTTGTCCTTGACACAGGCCTCGGCACACTCGTCGTGGGACGAGACCTTGGCGTAGTTGAGGAGCACGGCACCGTCGGCGTCGGCGCAACACTGCTGGTAGAACCAGGTGCCGTCCGAGCCCATGAAGATCTTACCATTGTCCCTGGGGCACTTGACGGAGCTGCTGGTGATCTCGGGCTTCTTGTTCTCGACCGTCTCGACGTCGCCAGCGGCCGGACACTGGGTAGGGTACCAGGCGTGGCTAGTAGACGAATAGCCTATCTCAGCTTCCATCTTCCTCATGCTGCAAGTCTTGGTGGCGAAGACAAAGGGTGACACTGCAGCACTCGGTGGTTTTGGTGCAGAGTCTGGCGCAAGCCTTCATGTCCGGCACAGTCTCCGATCCGATGTTGCCGCCCTTGTGTCCCTTGTTGCACATGAGCTCGTAGGTGATGCCGCCCGTGACAACTGTCCCGACCCCATCTGCCCGGACCCTACCTGCCCCGTGAGTCACCTTTTTCTCTCCCCCTGTGTCGACCAAGCACAGGCTTCACGGACTGACACGGCTGGCATTTTTTTTATCCACCCGCAGAAGCAACTTTGCGCTAAGAATGACGCATATGCAAAGCGCGAGGCGGACCTAAAGAAATGTCCTGCTGGAGGAGCCCGGTTTGACAAGGTGGGTCAATTTGTAAGGTGTGCTTGAGCTTGAGCGAGTTGCGGCTGGGGAGACATGGTCAAGTCGAGGGGTGCTTGAGCCCACGTCAGAAAGCAGAGTAGGTGATAACATGGAACGCCAATAGATGACATGACACGTCAGGCCCCGTTGCCGCACTGGTTGAATCTCCGTTACATGGTGATGGTATAGGTGCTTTTTAGGTAGAAAAGCTGCGATACTTCGCTGGTTGCATCGTGACCAGACTCCGTGGGGCCTTTTTGTACTGATTGAGCCACGTCTCGCTTGGAGCCTTCATATTGTCCGTCTCTGGGCACCTTGTTTCTGACCTTACCCGCGACCAGGCTACTGTGTATCGGTCATTGAATCGCCATTGTATCCGCCAAACAACCGTTGTGTGTCCTTGATTGTGTATATATCGGGGTTTTGGCACATGTTCTTCCTTGACGCAGGTTAGAGTTCGATTATTTCGTTCCATCTCCCCCTCTACTGTTCAACGCGTAGAGGAGTAAGATCGCTCAGCTGGAGACTCGGAGGCGCCACTTGCAATGCACATCGAATCCATTCCAACGCAGCGAATCGAAAAAGAAGTACCTTTCACTGCCAGTGGTCAAAGTCGAAGATCCTGGGAGCCTTCAGGCGGGGCAGTGCTTACCAACAGATCGACATGAACCTGGAGAATTCTCAAAGATCCAGTCGGAGACGTCCCCTCAAGCACCACACGGGAACTTGTGACATGATTTGGTAGTTGATACTGAATCGAGTGTCAAATATTTGATGTGTTGTTTTCAATATCAATGAACTCACCATACGCGTGGTCAATACTGCAAAAGGCCAATTTTTTGACAATCCTCGCGAACGCGAAAGTGGATCAGCGGCGCAGCGCGTAATAGTCGTTCCTTCCCAAACTGAAACCATGAGCAAAGTTGCGTCGTATGCGTCATCATCACGTGCCACAAGAACCGGAAATACTGTCAAAGGTGCCTGAGGTATATTTCCGCTGGCGACCTAGATCACGCCCTTTTCTAGTCCTTCTGCGACACCTGCGACACCTGCGATACTGGAGAACACGCTCAGTGATCGTGATCGTGATGGCTCGAAAGACAGCATGTCAGGAATTGTGACAAGCCAATTGTGAATAGTACGCACTACCCTCACTCAATTCGATAGCCGCGATCTACTGCTGGTTGGCGTGGCTTATTGCTGGCCGGGCCTCGTCGCAGCGCCCAACCCCTGAAGTCAACACCTGCCCAACAGTGGTGTGCATGAGGCGCGCAAGATCTTGAGAAGAAGACAAATATGGTGTCCTTCTTTTCTTGTCTTCTGCCCCTGGCCCACTGCTTAGCACGCGTCGATCCCTGCTGGCCAATGTTCATGGGCCGCTCCGGCCCTTTTGGAGATGTCAATCGAGCGGCACTGGTTGGATCGTAGGATAGCTGAGGTGAGGTTTGCAACCCAGCCGGAACTGGTCAGAAAATTGCGGTCCGCGAGATGGGTCGCATCCGCGCATGCTTTCTAATAAATCAGCCTGTCTCTTTTCGTGCCCCCGTCGTGCAAAATGACAAAGCTCGACCAAAGTTTCATCATATCTCTCTAAAGTGCACCTGAAGTTCTCGTCTCTGATTTATTTATCCTCGTGTCCGCTGCCTGGCGATCGTCATGAATGGTGCTGAAGCACCCGTAGCGCAGGCGCACGTAATTGAGGTCGTGGCAAGCAGATGTGAGAGGGAACGATAATTGAGGGAAGGAGCGTGTGGTCCTCGTGGCTCGGCCCCGCTCGCGCTACCCCAGGTTTGTGTGCGGCGTGGCCCGTACCCCAGATTGAAAGTCGACAATGAGGAAGGTACGGCGCAACGACAGACGACGACCACCGTGTAAGTCCATGAGTCATTGAGTGTCGATGCGCAAATGCGTGTCCGTGTTGCTGGGGCAAGAAAGCACAACAGGGAGACTCGACTCTATGCGACTGTTCGTGAATCGTAATACATCCTGAATTCCGCGTGGCGCATGAAAGCGGCCAAGGCAAAGGGCGCCACCCCTCACCATCCCTCGCTGCTTCAGCGTCTCTCTGGACAAGGTACCGCGTCCCGAGGGACAATGAAGAGTGACACGTCAAAGCTTCGTCGACGTGAAATTCCGAATTCTTTGGTGATGGCTGAATGGGTGCCGACCGCAGAGGAAGCTCGCCCTAGGACAACCTCCAGAACCCCACACATTTCAAAAATGCACTGCCCACGCAATGGAGCTCGTACGGTATCATGATGACGTCCAATGAATGGAGAATTGAATCAGCTATCGATCACATGTTTTTGCAATTTCCACAATGCCGAGTGTAGGCGCACTGAAGGCCAAAAGTTGAACTTGTCCGAATTGACAGAAATGAAGGGCCACTGGGAGAATCAAAATCCCAACCTCACCCATGAACTATTGGATCTTTTTATTATGTTTATTACTATAGCTTATTATTCTTTACAATATAAAATATAAAACTATCACTAACTCACGCTATAGAGCTCATAAAACGTCGAAAGAAATATATTTATATGTTTTTGCTATAAATTTACAATAAAAATATTCAGAAGTTAAAAAGAAGAGGGCCTAGCCGGGAATTGAACCCGGGACCTGTCATAAGGACTAACCCTAGTCCGGGGAAGACACCCGAAACGACAATCATTCTACTAGACCACTAGGCCACTGAGTTATTAAGTTGGTAACGCTCTTGTAAACTAGCCAGATATATTTAACGACGCAGTCCTGGCTACTAAATATTACACTTAAATATTTCATTGACTTAGTACTTATATAAATTATTTAAAGATATATAAATAATAAGCATAGTATACTTTATTTAATAATATTTTTTCTTATTTTATATTAGTTTAAAAAAGTACAATAATATTAGATTTATTAGTACTTATTACGCTTCCATTAACAAGCTAGCGGCTAAGTATAAGACTTAGCCTAGATTACTTAAGCACGTTATTTATACTTACGGGAACGCACGGGCCTTGTAATATACCCCTAAGTATAAGGCTTATAAACTTTACTCTTCCCTTTTTATACTTTATTATTAAATAAACTTAATCTAAGTTACTAAGTTACTCTAATAGGGCCTAGCCTGTTACGGTTCTACCCATTGCTGGCGGCTGGGTACGAGACCCAGCCCGGTCGACCTAGACACGTGACGCGTGCCCGCGGAGACGCACGGACTTCGCAGAGTCTTCACAGGAAAGGGGGACCGTAAATTCCCCCTTCCTTCTCTTTTCCTACCTTATCGTTAGATAGACTCAATCTGAGCTACCAAGTTGTTCCAACCGGGCCTAGCCCACAACATAGCCTATAATAACACTAAGGGATTTATACTATACTAACTAAATAATACTACTAGTACTAATAAGTAAAGTATAGCTACCTATAATTTAGTTTTATAAATACATACTTAAATAAAAGTATAAAAATATCCTTAGGCCTACTATAGCCCTTAGGCCTTATAACCCTTATAAGCTATAATCTTTATATAACATTAGCACTACTCTCTATAAGGATATTGTCTAGCTAAATACACTAGCGCTAGTAACTTTATTAAGTAAGTACGATATTTAGTACTATACTATAAGACTGATATAGATACCCCGTGTAGCTACGTGATTAATTCGCTTAGCTCTTCATGTGTGTATTTCTAGGATTCGCTTCTGACACAAATACCTGTTGAATGATGAGCGCAGTCATGCGCTTCAAGCAGGACAACGCAACGCGGAGTTTGATGTTTGTCACAATCAGTAGCTTGCCTACAAGTAGCAGTACTGCACCCTGGCGACTGAAGATGCAAACGGCCGATCAATCGGTGGCTCATGCATTTCTGACCACCGGGCCCTGGGGTATCCAGTTATCCACTCAGCACTGATCAGATCTCAGCTCTCCAAACACCTTCCAAGGCTTCAAGCTCACGCCTATCATGACCGCTACAAGTACGTAGTGCTTCCTGACCCGGTCGACCACACACGGATCATATCATCAGCAGCTCACGACAATTTCGCATAGACCGCTTGCATTTGTTTGCAACCCAAACCTCTGCGCGCAATCCTTGGTTGCGCGTCAACAAGCCAGGCGTCATGTTGGTGATCAGCCGTGACCCATGACAGCAGACAGACACCACCATGGTGGGTGGTCGATGCAGGTGACAGACCCTGGTTCTTGGTGTGAACGAGACGGCGAAGGTATAAATGGCCCTGAATAGCCTCTCGCGATCACAGAAGACAGAGAGATTGGAGCACTTTGGTCAGAGCCAGGCTGCAAGGCCGCGTGCTCTGGGTCGACAGGTCGCTGAGGTTGGGTCAGTGGATCGCTACATGTAGTCCACCAGTCGACAGGCTGGTCACCTGCTTCAGGCTCACATTCATGATTGAATGTCATCACCTCTTTGCCAGACCAAGCGACTCGCGAATGCATCGAAATTATTTGGACTGCGGCTCAGCACGTCCCATGTGGTATGCAGATGAGCCCGGAATCTTTCAATGTTTTGGGTTCACGTTCTAACCTCGAACAGAACCAGTGATGTAGACGATAACAGCATGTGTCACTACATTCGTGGTCATACGGTCCAAAACGGCCCCAAGCCGATTGAGTCTCGGCCATTACAACTGTTCGAATGCCTGAACACTTCTTCAACATACCCATATTAGCTGCACAAGTGTGGAAAGGCTTCGCCACTCCCACTTGTGGATTTTGTGCCGCGTGTGTCCAAAGAGACGGATGTGGCCACAGCAAAGGACTCATCAGGTCGAGCTCGGAGCGCGCTTACATATGCAAGTCACACCCAACCCATCCCTCGACTGTCTCGACCAGGAGTTTTTCCTTTATATATGTATGTGTGTATATTGGCAGCTAACAGCGCCTTCGGCGAGGGTTTTGACTATTTGACGCTGCATGGCGCATTAGGCGTGCATACGTTGCTTGAGACAGGGATTTTCCTACGCAGAATCGACGATGCCATAGTCTTGCTGGCGTCGGACCCAGTGCCAGGTGCGGGTATGTCTTTTCATGCTTTCGCCAGACGTCTTGGATGATCATGACTTCGAAGGAAGACCTTCAGTATTGAAGCCACTACCTTTGTCCTCAGTGAGTAGTCTTAGACGCAGTTACGAATAATCTCTAACAATTCTAGCCTGGGATTCATGAACTCGATATGGACGCAAAAGGTCCATCATCGCCCTGCTCCAATCCGCGCGTCCGCTGTCCACCGTCCATTCCTCTCGAATCGCTCGGAGTAGCGTCCGTCGACGCTGTTTGTTGGGATGCGAAGTGACAGTACTGAAGACCTCGCACACTGCACGCTGCTCAACACCTCTCGATGCCTATGGACTATGTCCGGGAACCTTCACCACTTCCTGTCAATCTTGGATACTCTATAAAGACCACAGGTCGTTTATGACACAGCATCCCGCCTCCGCTCAGCTTTACTCTTGTCAACTCTTCTACACGTCTTCCAATAACGTTTACCCGTTCAACGCAGGTGAACTGGAATTGAAAGTCTCTGCCATCACCTGTCAGCCTTCGACACTGGAGTAGAGGGTACAGGCCGATGCAGGGCACAGCATATCACCCCTGAGCTGCTCTTCCCATGCTCTCTGTCCGAGAGCATGACGTCGACAATCGCCAACTCTACCAATCCTCCGGAACGCGGGAGCACATGGAAAACATTCACAGGACGAAATATGGGTGAGGCCGATGTCGCAAAACATTAGTTCTTTGCCTACTAGACTAATCATATGCTCTAGGTTGATTACAGTCTCGCCGATCATCGAAACCCTCGCGCCCCTGCCCAGACCATTCATACCACATTACGATAGCTTCTCAACTCAGCGATTCTCTCCTACCGGCCGCCAGCGAACTTGAACAATATTTCAGGGGCTCAAAATGCTATCAAAGGAGACAAATTATTTTTCCCATCACTCCCCAGCCTAGACCAACTCCGGGTATTACTACCATGTATTGTCCCGACGCCTTGTGCCATGCCATGCAATCTATCTTGGATAGTGCTTCTCCGGGGGTTTCACTACTCATCAGCTTCCATGCCAATCGACGACATTTTAAGTTCAATCTCGGACTTGAGCTGCCCAATCTACTTCTGCAGCCTCTGCCTGAGGATGGTGTCTGTCTGCTTCTCCAAGTCGGCCTGCTTGGCGGCCGGCTGCTTGTTTATGTCGGCAATGATATCCTTGACGCCCTCGACTTGTACATGGAGCGGCGATCAGGTGATGAGTCAGCGTCGCCTTCTCATATTGTCCTCGAGGCTCGAACGCAGCATGCCATATATAAGCAACACCAAGGCCATATGCCATATATAACCAACACCAAGGCCATCTGCGTCACGTACGGTGCAAAGACCTGCACGACTTGTAAGAAAGCAGACTACGCTAGAACATCATGTCTGCCTGACGAGAACACGGTGATACTCGGCCAGCTGGCTCGTTAGCAAGGCTAGCAGCGTTGCGAGAAGTACGAGTGAATAGTTGATGACGAGTGGCTGCTACTACATGAGTATGTTGGCATGATTCTTTACCGTTTTATGACGATCTTTACTGATCTAATGGTTACCTAGTTTGTGACTGGTTCAATGCAGGTCTGGACACTGCGGTGTGCGAGAGCTCACCCGGACGCAAAGCAGTCACCTCCGAGAGAATCACGCTTCGTTTGCCCACTGTTCGTAGTTGTCGACTGTCTTGGTTACTGAAGTGCTGGCCCTCGAACGCTACAATCTATCGAAGAACAGCCGGGGACATGACGGTCGCCGATTTCACAAAGACGTTGATTGGTGCAATAATACAACTTCAGTGCTTACACGGTCCACCACCAGGACCTGGACAATGCACGACAAGTGACTTGCACGCCGTTTGGGTTGGGGACCATGCTAGGAAAGTAACAACCAGTTCCGGCTAATGAGAGCAACGTGCTCATTGTTGAATTCAAGATAACAACACCACGGAAACGAGAACGCTCTGTTATTGGCCAAATCAATCAATTGAAGAATGCATACGGAGCTAAGTTCTGGAGGGCAGGAAAAATGAAGTTATCGCGAGATGCTGCCTGAGGCACCCTGTTGAGGGATTCACAGCCCCTGTCAGGGGCGCTGTCCGGCCGTTCGGGCCGACAAGGTGGGCGATTGAGCCTGACACTCATCTGCAGCTGCTTCGAGTATTAGATTTGATAGCATTGCCAGTTCTGGACGTTGATGGTCAAGCTGATGAGTGGCTGCTATAATATAGCGACCCACGCGAAAACAGCACACTCTTCGACGCCACTGTCGATATAGATAGCAGCCTTAGAAGCCGAACACTACCCGGCATATTTAACAAAACACCCGCTTTCTGTAGATTTATCTAGACGAGTATTACTTACTTTCTGAATACGACCCTCCTGTCTCCCGCTTCAACTTGGCCCAGGATTTGCGGAGTATTAGACCCATACTTATCTTCGCGTTACCTAGCTCTGTGACATTCCTGCAGTCTATATCGACTCGAACTGTCTCTCGTACAATCGCTTCCTCAACAAGGATTTCTTCGTTCAACACCAATATTTGTCCAATTCCCATTGCCAAACCACTGTCTTGGCCAATTCCAGGGCAAGTCAGGATCCAAAAACACTGGCAAACCAATCTGTATACAGCCATCGAATTGCATGTCCATCATGTCTGTGTCATTACTAATCTGCTGCTCCGACTAGGGACTCGCTAGTCCCGGCGACAAGGACCCGCAGACGAATAACGTTAGGAACCGAGTTAAAACCAATCCGGTCGGGGTAGACGCGTGTGCTGGCCCTGGAAGGGCGGCGAGTAGCCCTTGTTAGTCGCTCGCCGACCTTTGTGGACGTGTTATTTGCGTAGTATGTTGCCAGTTATTCGATGGACACGGAGCAAGGCGTCTTTGGTTCCTGTTGTGCGGAGTATAATTAGAGCCTTGCTATGTATTGGGATTTGATCTTACGACAATCTGAAGAGGAAAATGTACAGCTCCTAAGGGGTGAAATCCTGAACAATTTGCTGCTAATTTGCCGTCGTTTGGCGTAAGGGTCGGTCAACACAGTACTAATTAGTATAATTCGCCCTGGTCGCCATCGGGGATTGCATAGTATGTAGTGCTGTGAGTCTGTGACGGTGAGCGGCCTCATGAAGGCGCTAGGCTCGATTGAGAATCTTGATAAGAGTTAGCGTGTACACGTGACCAAGGAAAGCTGGAGGCGGGGCCAAAGCTCACGGACCACCCACACAGAGCACAGTAGATAGTACTCCGTACCTTTGCAGTTATTATGTAACTGTAAGGTGACTTGTGCTTAGCATTTTTCTACCAGGTACTACTCCATAATACCTAGTCCATGCGGACTGTTCACTCTTCAGATTCACCGCCCTTTCCGCTCTCTTCTTGTCCCCCTTCAAAACGCATTTCACAACGCGTTTCAAATCCTTCTGCTCGCTCAAACTCCCGTGGTCATGGTCTTGACAGTCTTCGCCATCACCTATCACCTCCGACACTCAAGCGAGATGCATAGGCCGATGTATGGCACTGCGTATCACCATCGACCGGCTATAAATATGCTATCTTGTCGAACTCACAATCTGGCTGGTGGTCAGATTCGTTGACAACTGTCAACTTCATGAATTCATTGCAATGCGCGCGCGGATGGAACCCTTCCAACGGGACAGTCTACGCGCGGCCAGTGGCCTCTTCGATGAGTCGGTAGGGATCTCAGACACTGTTTCTGCTGCAACTATCCGTAGACTAATGACATTTCTAGGTTCAAATTTTACCAATCATCAGAGCCCTCCAGAGTCCTGCCAGTGCTCACACAATCCTCACCACCAGAAGGAGAAGGCCTTCTTCGCACAGCGTCCTTGGAACGCTCTGCCAGATGATCGGTTCGGCATCCCGGCACTGCGCGCTCGCATCCAAGGACTCCTTATGAGCCGCACAGAGAGCGAAATCCCCAAGGTAAAAGACGAAATCGCCGCCCGCCTGAAGTCCAAAAAGCAGCTAGCGGAAGCGATAGGCGCATCCCATTCCACTCCAGAGGAGCAGAGGGCTCTACTCGGCAAGGTCACCTCCCGTTTTACTTACCAGTCAAAGGGCTACGCTCTCGACGCGTACTACACGCGCGACACTGTCTTCCAAGAGCAGCCTGACCTGAAGCTCATCCCCCGCATGCGCGAGCTCAATGAACTCTTCTCCATACGCTCTCGACGCGTACTACACGCGCGACACTGTCTTCCAAGAGCAGCCTGACCTGAAGCTCATCACCCGCATGCGCGAGCTCAATGAAGTCTTCTCCAAGACCTTGCACGGAGCAGGACATACGCGCATCTTTGTTGGTGCAACTAGTGCCTCGTCCCCCACTCCCCGAAAGACCATCAGGTGAATGGTGATGGAGATACTCCTGAACCAGGCAGCGAAAGCACGTCCGCCTCCGAGGACGGCCAGTCTGAAGAGGGAACCATCCGCGATGACTGCTACTACGTCGACTGCATGCATCATGCTCAGGCTGGTTTCTCAAGTCGTCGACTCTTTGTTGATCACGTCGAGGACTCCCTCTTCCACAAGGGATACCCCATGGTCTCAATCACCAGCCAACGGTCGCAGCTCGACCGTGAATTTGCGATGCGTCACTTCCGCTCTGGAAACGCCCTCATTCTCGTAGCCGCAGGTGCGGCTGCTCGTGGCATCGATGTCCACAACGTCCAACATGTGATCAACTAGGAGTTGCCCACCATGGCCATGGCGGCATCGAAGAGTACACGCACCGCATTGGTAAGAGTGTGAGATAGTGTATTGGTACTAGAAGCTAATCAATTCCAGGTCGCACAGCTGATTCACCAACTCCTCCTATAAGACGTGGAGGAACTCGGGAAATCCCTAAAGGGCAAGCAACAGGAGGGGCAAACCACTGACTTTGAAGTGGCCCTCAGTGTCTACCAGGACGACATCCGCGCCGCCAGTGACCAAAACATGACCGCCAGTGACCAAAACATGGCCGCCAGTATCGCCGAGGCTTTATAATCTGACGTTGCTTTGATCAAGGCACACGAGGCCATGGAGCTACAGACCCGACAAGACAGAGCCATTGCCCTTTGGATCGACAAGCATCTAGCCGACAATGCCGCTACTGCTCCTAGCAAGGTCCCGCAGCCCACGCCAGAACCCGCAATCGACGAACACGTTCTGCGCAAACTCGAAGGCCTCAACATCCTTAATAACGCATCCACAGGCGGCGAGTCCTCCTCGTGGGCGGCAAGTCGTGATCCCTCACGCAGACCCGACGGGGAGCCCATCGAGGTGCAGACGTGCATTAGCTGCACAGACACTGCTCCCGTATCTGTCATGATCGTCACCGATATGAGAAGAGGCGATCAGACGACGAGTCACGACATTATCTCGAGTTGTGCCCGGATGTTTCCTCTCTTTTTGAGTTGTTGGGCTTTTCCTATGTACGCGTGGACCAGATCTGGAGACCTATCCGATCGCTTGTATAATAGTTCGCTTCTGGAGTCAGAGATTCCTCAAAGCCATGGCATATACCTACTAGGGGCGGATCGCCTTTAAATACAATAGCAACAATCTCGAGTTGTCCTCGAAACCGATATGCCGCATACCCCAGCTTCGTTCGCTGGCTATCCGCAGCTTTCGATAGCTTTGATTGATGACGTGCTGGGCCTCGGACTCTACAGCACTTCTAAAGACAGCCCGAAACACGATCGTCGCGGTCCCATGGGACATTCAATGACGCATTCATCCAATTTCATACCGCCACAGTGCACTAATACGTGGACAATACGTTATAAGTGTGGTTCAGACACCTGCTCGCTCTATAAGCGCGGGACCCTGTAACAGGAAACATGCCCATCGGACCTCAACACCGTGTTTCTCAAGAGCCGCCTCAAAATCAAGGTGGTAGCATCTCCAGCGCTATACGCTGATGCGGAAGCTGGTGAGTGGCTGCTATAATACGTCGATCCACGCAACAGCAACGCCCGGTTCAATGCTATTGCTAATATAGCTAGTAGTCTCAGAAGCCGAACATTGCTCGATAAGATCGATCGAGCACGCAGTTTCTATAAATTTACTTAGACGAGTCTCGCTTACAAGCTTAATACAACCCTATTGTCTCCGCCATTAACCAGGCAGGTTTAGGAACGCGCACTACTAGACTGACACCCTACATGCAGTGTCCTTGACCTCCTAACCGTGCATGCAAGCCATATTCACTCAAAACTATCTTCCCTCTAGTCGCTCCCTCGAACAGCATCTCGACATACAGCAACAGTTTATCTACCATTCTCATCTCCACTTCTCTGTTCTAGTCAGGACCAAACGCCGAGAGGAGCAATGTCTCGACACCCAGTCGGAGGATCATTACAATTCGTTCCGCGACCCTGGAATTCGACACTGAGGAAGTCTGTATGATCTATTCCGACACTCAAGTCCTGAATTTGAGGACTTGCCACTGACTGAATGCGTGGTTGTATGTCATTGCGCGACCCTGGAGTTCGACATCGAAGAGCAAGCCCTCGCGCGCACCAACTTACAAGGCAAAGCGCGACGGCGAGGTATACATGTCACATATTCCGACGCACGAGAAGCTATCCAATCTGGCCACAGGGCATGCACCAAGGAATCCTCGGATCAGCTGGTCGGCGTCGCCAAAGTCCGGCTCATCCTCCACATCCTCCACGAATGCCCGGTGAGTCGCCGGGTGTGAGCGAACAGGCGCATTGCCAGTCGAGAACTGCGGCGTGGCGGGAGGTCGTCAATTGCCATGAGATCATCGTCGTCATGGGGGTGGAATCCGTCCGCAACAGAAGCGTCCTCCCCCTGAACAGGTGGCGGCACGACAGTGAATCGGGGGTCCTGGTCAGGAGGCCTGACCGGAGCAGCGAACGGATTGGCGAACCTGGAGGGAGAAGGCGAATCCGAGTTCAGCGATGGCTACACCTCGCAAGGCCATTACAGTCACGCCACAGCTTCGCAGCGTTGCCGAGCTTAGCTGTACATTGACTTGAAAGTTCCTCGCCGGTGTTCTACATCTATCGCGAGGCAATCGACTAGGGCGACTTGAGACATCAGACTTTTTCCAAGAAGAGCACCAGCTTCCCGCGATCTCGATGCAGCTCGATCGACAATAAAACCCACGATTGACTCTCCGATGTCGTTCGAGACGAGACTCCCTGTGAACATCAGAGCCACGAGTAATCTATAATATGACGCCTCATGAGATTTTATCAAAGGCTAAGGGACCATCTTTTATGCTCGGAGCATCCATGCTAGTCACACGGCCCTTGGAGTCCTGGAAGCAACCATCGCATGCGCATGCGAGCACAGAAGTCATAGCTGGAGGACATAATTCACAAGAGGTCACGTCGCGCAAACTAATCTGGCATGTCGTCAGTGTTTGAACCCGCCGTAAACGACATATTCCTCCGCGACTCACTACACCAAGGCTGGGTACCTGGACTTCTTAGGTCAAAAGTGGTGACTGATCGTTAGGGGAAGCTACAGTAATTTGTGGGAGAAGTGTCGACAGACATATATACACTGAGCAATTGTGACCTGACTAATTAGATGTCGCGGGTTTCTTCACCATGTTGCTCAATAAAGAGACCATACGGTAGAAACATCCAAAACATATAGGGGAACAGGTAGGTAACAACTCGCTATTCCCAACTGATGTGGTCTTCGTCAATGTTCCTTTTTTGCAACTAGAGTGCCTGCAGTTCGTGGCCATGCACCAAGTCGGAAGTTCTCTGCATCTGCCTCCATGCTCTTCTGAGCGACATCTCCATTCACCTCTGCCTGCTGCTTCGTGTCGATATGTCCCTGACAGCCTGGCCAGCTTGTACGGCAGATGACCACTGATGTCGACAACAAGATTCTAACCGCCGCCATGAATGCATAGATTTGTGAGCCGACCTGGTAATACAAAAAGCATTAGGTTCACGAGATCGAATCTCAACACTTATTGGCAAAGCCTCACTGCAAGGGCCAGGGCTACATGACAGCAACCCAGGGCATACTTGACCGCATTGTCGGATGAAATAGCTTATGCCATTGATCTCATTGAATGGTCTGGGAGGCGCATGATGAGACTGTTTTACAGATATTCAGCTTCACCATAAACACTGACTTCTTTCCAAATCCAGGAAATGCGCTTCTCATGGAGCAGCATCGCCACCCATTCTTTGCGACAACGGTCTCTGCTTCGTCAGTACAGGCTGCCTAAAGTATTCGACAACTCAAGGCATACAGCATCTGAGTGAATGCTCTTGCATTAGTCACATAGACCCAAACTCAGTGCGATGACCATGGTCCACAGCTGCGATGCAGCGATGCCGGCCAAGATGCCGTTCCCCAGCGGTTTCCTTGACTCCGGTCGATATCTGGCCTAATTCGAAGCAGATCACAATTCACTCTAGACTACGATACGCTAGCGATAGGACGGAGAACAGCCAGGCCTTATGATGAGCGCTCAAGCATCATGCGCCACCGCCAACACATTGCCACTAAGACCCAAGTCTGAGCAGCTTGACTTAACTCAAAGCTGATAAAAAATCACTCCAGAGCATCATGCGCCAGCGATAGGATAAGAAGGGACGGCGACGTCCTAGCCTCAATGCTGGAGCGCGATGCGCCACCACTGAGACAATGAGAGGAGGGCCCATGGGTGTGCGTACACTGTTCTTGCGCGCCTCATCGTTACGAACACATTGCGATCACCGAAACGGATTTTGGTCTTAGCAGACGGTAAATTCATCCGCTGTTGTCCTCCACTTCTGGTTTCAGACAGCCAGGCTTCCCCTTTGACCGATCGTGAGCAAGGTTGCAGCGTGGACCCGGGGCCCGGGCTGGTCCAATGCCGCCGACCAGGCTTGATCTGGTGTGCTCTTCCGGTCCCTTGAGTTTTGCCTTTGGACTCTTATCCTCGGCCTCATGCTGCTGCACGAAATGACCTTCCGAGGGCCGGGTCTATTCTCGCCGTGATGCCACCATGCTCAGTCCTCGTCCGAGCAGAAGAGCCTCAAGCCAGGTTCGTGTCCGGGAGTTTGTGTCGACCAAATTGATCAGGTAAACAAGTGCCGTATTGTCAGTCGCTCATATGAACAACGGAATATCTGTTGGAAGTGAATCAGGCCGTCGAGGCTGTTACGGCCGACGTTCATAGAGTTGACGTGGTGACAGACGCAACGGGCTGTGGGCGGTCATCCGATGATCCGACCGTGTACATGTAGAATGTAGATGCCCTCTCAGTGTTCATACGTTGAACTATCCTATCGTGTGTCAAGCACTATTTCCAACGCTGACATTCGCACTCGCAGTCTCGCACAGCAGGCGAACTCAGCGAGAGATTCGGTTGGAGGCTGCGTGTGCTGCTGGTTCTAGTATCACAGCAACTACTTGTCTGTCACGATAGTACGGCGATATTCTGTTATGCGCACTGCGCAGTTGGGTGTCAAGTTTGTCATTCCCGTTGTGTTGCGCCGCTAATCGACAGGCCATCGATCATGGTCTCTGAATCCGTAAATAGACAGAGACCAGAGTCTAGGAACGATATACCGATGCGATGAAATTGGTCCCTGAGTGGAAAACAAACCGGAGTGATGATTTGGTAGAACCTGCTCGCACTTGTGGGTTTCCGTGAATACCACGCTCCCGACACACATCACCATGCGAAATGCAAGATTGAATATAAGGACAAGCAATGATATTCATATTATTTTTTGAAGCCATCAAAATTCTTATCAGTGCAAAGTAAACCTTCCCTAGCGATTCCCGCGACGCTCAACGTTTCGGTTCCAGTTCAAGAGAGTTTGTCGAAGTACTTGGTGATATTGGAACTCTGGATTGGTGCAACCTTCTTTGCTTTCTTGACCCTATTGGAGTGCACCCGACGAGCAGGCGTTTGACGATTACCAGAATCATGCTTCATCATCAGACTGAATGCCAAGGGAACAGGCTTGATTTCGGCGGACTCGTCCTCAGCTGTCACACCTTTTGAGCAAGGCGTATCTGTAGACGAAGAGGCATCCATCGGAATGTCGATTTCCTTACTGAGATTGTGCGAGGGGCGGACGGCGATGAAAGGAGGGTTCTCGAAGCTGCCTGTTTCTTCGTATCCCTTTCTGCTAGTAGAGAGATCAACGAAGCCAGGCATCGGGTTAGGCAGGCGAGATGCCGTTGCAGCATCATAAACCGAAATATGACTGGGAATCAATGTTTCGATTCGGGTTGCAGAGTCCCATTCCCGGATTTTAGGCATTGGAGGCACGACTGTGTCTTGGTGCAGGAGGTACTCTCTGTTCTCTGGCCTCCATTTTTTCATCTCTTCGCCCTTGTCTCTCCTGAGAACAGGCTTACCTGCTTTGGCCATCCTCGAGTTGACACGCGGCACTCCTTCGTAGTCGACGGGAGAGAAATTTCGGCGTACCTGCTTCAGGAAGGATTGGTTGACTTCAGCATTAGGATCCATATCATTGTCTTGGCGATACTTTGTCTTTGCTTCGTCCAAGCACTTCCCTTCACAGGTTAGTTGCCGGCATTGCCAACCGCCAGACTCTTTGCAATATTTGGGGGCAACATCCCAGCGACGGAAACCACAGTTATTACAGCACACAAGCACCGGCTCGTCGCTCGCCGTGAATATGTCGTCTCTTCCTTTGGCCTTCTAGATACCGTCGGCGGTAGACTTATATCCATAGGATTTTTGGGCTGCTCGACCACTGGCTATGAAAGTTGCCATGTGTGCTTTGTATACGACTTGTACTGCGGGATCGGGGTTGTTCTTGAGTGACGCGATCCCGCCATTGAACTTGCCGTCGAAAGTCTCTCGCTGGAACAAAGGGAATTGAACATTCAGACCGACAGAATTGTCATCGAGAGTTGGCGAGGGGTGCCATTTTTCGAGCTTGTCGCGCTGCACAGCTTTGAAGAACACTGCGTATACTGATTCGACGATAGACTGCCAAGTCTGCGGCAGGGTGTCCTTGTTGCTGTCGTCGGTCTCCATGTAATTGTAGCTTCGATGGAGTGGAGCGAACCGAACGAACCGTTGTGCATAATTCCATGAATTGTACAGCATCTGACGAGAGTAAGGCAGTGGCAACCCCTGGTCGGCAGCTTTTTGACGCTCTCGAGCATAGTGGATGTTTCGTTCCCGGTGTTTCTTCAGACGATCAAAAAGATTCCGAGCCTGTCCAACGTACGCTCCAAAAAAGTCTGGCTCATCTGGGCCACCGACGATCATGATCATGTAGTGACCGGCCGTTTTAGGAAACATGTGCGCGTCAAGACTTTTGTTGGTCAGCATGTGACGAGCAGGGCTTTGGGAAGATGCGACAATCTCGTCTATAATCAGAGATTCTCGGTAGAACTCGTGGAATAGCTGGCTCAGAGGTCCCTTGGAGTCGAGATATTTGCGAACGTGATCCCCAGTAGTTCCCGATAGCGAAGCGCCAAGTTCGATCACATGTTCGAAACATTCGACGATCTCAGAAGCACGTTGATACTGAGTCTCGGAGCTGACTGTTTCTGGGGCATGCTGAGTGCAGATGATGTCGAGAGTCGCTTGTCGATATGATTGTAACTTGGGCTCCACGTGAGAGAGGATAGTCTTCAGTTCGTCAAACACATTCAATACGAGCTTCTGGTGATCATCCGAGCAAAGATCGAAAGTTGACTTCATGTCCTGAACCACGTATGACTGGTCGGAGAGTACTCTCTGGATGGTATCGTGCAGTTGTCGATCGTGCTTGTGTAAGTGATAGGCCGAAGCTGTGGGGGCACCTGGTAGTGTAGACATGGTGACGAGTATGGAGAGGCTGACGCGTAGACGGTTATTCTTGGATGCTTGAAATCGCCAGGAACTGCGAGACTGGGGGGGGGGGGGAAGAGGGAGGGCGAGAAGAACGGCGAGGTGATGAGTTGTGCCGGAAGGTTTTCATGGTCTCGACCAAAGAAGGGAAGGAGCTTCCTTCCATTTTGGAATCAATGAGCCCAAACCGACCATAATGACGTCCGATGTGTCGAGCGAGAAGGAACGTTGAATTTGCAGAGCAGCGGCCAAAACGGGAAGGAGCGATCTGGGACCAGTCAGTAGCAGATCGCCAATGGTGGGGGCCAACAAGCCATTCCGACCATACCGAGGTTCATTGATTCAGCGAACGTGTAGTTCAAGTGATTTGAAAAGAAAAGATTGCATTAAAGCACAGTAAAAGAAGATCATGCCCCAGCCAACCGACATGGCTCTCGGCTGGGGCGGCTAGCGACCTCATACCATTAGAGCGTCATCGAGTGTTGATTACTCAAAAGGTGGACACGGTCTTGACTTCCTTGAATACTGTGAAGCCGCGCGCGAGGCGCGGCAACAACAACAACTCTAGCTCATGGTGGTATACCCCACAGGTACGAATAGTACCTGTTGTCGGAGGTTTGGTTTTCCATGGCGTCCAACCCATGGGTCACAGTTTAAACTCAGATGACAAGAGTACCGTACAATAACGGAATATCAGGTGCACTGTGAGGTACGTAAGCAGTTCTTCCAGAAGAGATAATATACACACGAAACGACATGGGGGTTTTTACTCGTCTGCCAACTGTTGTTTAGTGTGCTGGGGAGGCGCAAGGTACTGTCATGAAATCTCCAACGGCCGCTGTTGGCCGCGACAACAAGTAATCATGCGGCTCACAAAGGAATGAAGTGGGAATATGAGAATGTTCGGGTCAAGTATGCTGTATTGATGTATATGCGTCGCTGAGGCTTTGGGCCACCTATCTACGCAGCAAGAAGTGCCCAGAAGTGCCCAGATGCAAGAGATGCGGAATCGAGAATTGTTGTTGATAGAGTTAAAGTGAACGTTAGTTGAGGCGCCTGGCACTCACTGGCTTGATGCAGTGATTCTTAAAGCGGGGTATCCGTAGTGTGAGTGGATATGACACGTTTTATTGCATACGCGGGGTGTAATAGCTCTAGCAGTGACCGCGCTCTTCCTTCTTTCTTAGGTAGTATGAGCATGTTCTTCATGGAGAATAATATCACCTTCTTCTCTGATGGCTCTCCATCTTGAATCCTTGAAGGATGGCATTCTCCAACATATCGAAGCGGAGAACCCTCTCGCTAATTATTATTTATTAACCGCACCTTTGCAATCCCCTATGACGACCAGGGCGAATTAGATTCCATTCTCGCCGACCCGTACGATTGCCCTACTCTCATGACGAATGATACTCTCCAGCATATCGAATAGGAGTACGTCGCGGCTCGCTGATTGCTATTGCGTCAATCGCAACATTGCTATTCCTCATTACGACGTCCAGATCAAATGGAATTCTGTGTTGGCCGACCCTTACGATTGACTCACGCCCTCGAAAGACGACAGCCTTCAGTATATCATAGAGGAGTACGTCGCGTCTGGCGGGCACGAGCTGGGTACGTTTGGTGCCGAACTCGTGTCGAGCGTCTTCAAGGAACATGGTCCAATCACACCTTTCCCATCCCCGATGACGACCAGGGCGAATTGGATATTGTGTTGGCCGACCCTTGCGGTTGCCTTGCATCCTGAAAGACAACATTCTCCATCACATTGAAGAGGAGTACCTCGCGCCTCGGGGTAAGAGCTGAGTATGAGCTGGATACGTTTGGTGCCGAAGTCGTGTCGAGCATCTTCAAGGAACACATATCAAGAGGTTTCAAGGGATGCGCAGTGTGGTTAGGTTGTATCTCAGTAACTTCGAGGTGTGCGACCTTCAGCGCCATGTCTTCACATTGCAACCCCGGCGACGACAAACGTCATTGTAAGCTTTGTGATAGAATGTGACTCGTCAGCCGGGTCGAAACCCTGAGATATATTTGGCGTTCACATCGGGTGCATAAATCACAGACCAAGATAGAATTGTACAATATTGTTCGTCACTGTGCCAAAGAATGCTTACCGGGAATAAAGCCTAAATGCAGCGGTTGGTATCGACACTGAAAATCATCCACTGAATCAGCTTTCGCAATGGCAGACGTCATCTCTCAGGCTCATGGTTTACTGAAACTTCTTGCGAAAGCAAGAGAAGTTATGCCTATATCACGTAGACTGAGTGCATTGTCCCCCAGAGTCGACAGCACAGCCCAGATCAGTCTCTGCCAGTCCGTGTGCCGTCCTATCATTTTCTGATAGAAAGCATGCATGGACCACGACGGTGGCCAATCTTGAGATAGATGGTGCCGTGGCGGGCTTTGCAAGTCATGGTCGCGAGCTGCTTGTTCTCGACCGTCTCGATGTTGCCAGCGGCTGGATACTGGGTCGGATACCATGTGTTTCTAGATGACCATGGGATAATCCCCGACGATAACACTCGGGGGAGTGGGCGCAGAGCCTGGCGCAAGCATTGAGGTCCGTCGGCGACTCGTTTCGCAGGACGCCCCCTTCATGTCCCTTGTTGCACATAAGCTCGTAGGTGATGCCGCCGGTGATATGTCGCTTGCCGTTGTGCTTATATGTATTATAGGTGTATGTCTTGAAGTTCTGCGCGTCTTTCTCGTCGCTATTACTATCGTCGCTATTGCCACCAGCTCCAGCGCCCTCACCCTCGCCATTGCTATTATTGTTATTATTGGTATTATTATCGCTATTTCTGTTGCCGTTGCCGTTGTCCTCGCCTTCGTCCGTGGGATTGGCCTCCCCGAGGTAGTACCAGGTCGTTATCTCTTCCGAGTCAAAGAGATATGCGTTGTGGTTGAATGCCCGGCGCTGGTTGATGCGTGGTGACTGGGACTTTTCAGCGCTAGCAGCCACCGTTTCGAATCGCCGAATTTGCGAAAGGGTCGGATGGGAGGAGAGGGTTGGCTGCGATTCAGGAGAGCTGAGGCTTTGTCGGACATTGGGAAGATTGAGATTTAGGGAGAAGAGTCTAGTAGTCACGTAGCTGAAGGCCGCGTATGGACAGAACGAGATGACTTTGTCATCACTATAATACATGCTGGCGCAGTCGAGATTGCTACTACGTTCCAAACTTCAGCGGCACTACTGTGAAACTGCCTTATCTTACCTTCTGGCTTGCTGTGGGCGCCATGATGAGCTGAACGGTGATCGCCTTGCTGGCTTGTTCTGAAAAATTGTGTCAAGTCTTACAGTAAGAAAGTGATATGCCGTAAAGAAGCTTCATCCATGCTACCGACAATCCAACACTCGCATTTCTCACATTGTCGTAGCACTACAAAGTCAATGCAGTCCCTGCTGGCAGCTGGACCGTCCTTGCCCACGTCGTCATGGCCTTGGCCCTGGCGCCTGTGCAACCTGCGCATCATCACGTATTGGCCATTTGTCGTGCAATCATTACAGGTAATCCAACAATTCATTTCAAACATTATCGTAGCACTACAGTGTCAACTCAGCTCACCATCCCCCAGCAGGGCCCAACGCATCGGCGGCATCGCCCTGTGCATCACCCATGACCCAATCGTCACCCGCTCCATCGTCGCCGCCCGCTACATCTTCGCTCGTGTTGTCATCTTCACCGGGTCCTTCTTCCTCATCCGAGCCAGAGCCATCTGCAGGGAATTCGATCTTTGCCATGAGGGCTTCTTGAATCGCGCCCATGGCTGAAGACTCTCCCTCAGGATGAGCACCAGCAACTCGGAATCGCTCGCGCTTCTTAGCCTTGGTGCGATTGTCACCCAGAGTCTTGTTCACTTTGCTGACCTTGTCGCGGGACGTGGCCTGCTTGGACGAGACACCGTGAATAATTGACGGGGGCTGGTTGTCGGGGTGCGGGACAGGCTTGAGGTTAGCCAGGTCCTTCGAGTATCGTCCTGCGAACAACGAAGCCGGTGAATGCTGATCGCTCCTTGGACAGTTGCGAGCAGTGTGGGCGCAAGGAAGACCAAGTGCCTTGCAACCGTTGCACTCCAAGGCAATGTGGCATGGGGACGTAGAGCTATGTTCGTGCCCATGATTGTTGCAACGATCGCAAATCTTGGTCAAAGGCATCTTGTAGTTCAACTCCAGCAGAGTGCCATTCTCCTCGTGCATGCTTGCCACTTTCTCTCCCCAAGGGCCCTTGATGCCCTCCTCGGCAGCAATCCAAATCGTCGCAGCTTGGGCTCGCGTTGAACCGATACACAAGCGGTTGTGGTTATTCTGGAAAACGCCTCGGGTCGTTCGCGGTAGATCAATGATTACCACGTCGGCTTGGTGACTTGGCGACTCATCGATTGTCCGAACGTCAATAAGCCCCAGAGGTGCCTCGTTAGGTTGAAGTTCTTTCAGATAACCTCGCAGCAAGTTCTTCTGAGCCGCGTACGCCGTGACAATGAGAACACTGCCTCGGCGAATCTGACGCCTGGAACCTGCAATACCGGATTTGTACAGGTCCTTTGTGTTGTAGACGGGCGCGGATTGGTACAGCTGCACGACCAATTTCTGAACGAGACGCGCGTTTTCCTTGTTGATGAAAGAATACCCGTACAGTTCTTCAATCGAGTTCTTGGGGTCGATCATGATTGACGGGATTTTTGGTCGGAACGAGTTCTCAGTGCCCATCATCGTCGCAAAGAAAGAGTTCCACAACCGTGTCACGTTCGAGTGCTGATGGACAACGCTCATGGTCTCGCGATAGAACACTTGACGGGGGATCTCGAAAGCCAGACCGAAAGCTCGATGGGTGTACTTCAACGTGAAGTCAATCTTGTTGGACATGGCCAAACGCGCGAGGAAGGATGTTGCATGCTGGTAGCCAAACAGATCTTGGTACTCTCCGTCCTCAGCTGCTGATGGGATGAGAGTGGATTGATTGACATCTCCCATGATCAAGACGAAAGCAGCTCGCGGGTATTTGGCCATGGGAATGAAAGTGGCGGCCTCGTTGAGATTTTGCGCTTCGTCGATGACAATCATGTCAGGCATGAATGAAGTGAAACGACTGGCGCATGAAGCAATGGCCGCAGGGGTAGCATAGACGATACCAGCTTGGGCAATGGTGAAGTTGATCAGATCCAACGCGTCTTTCATAGCTTCTGCCTTGTTCTTCTTCCAGAGAGTGAGATCACAGTCCTTGTAGCTCAGGCCTTGTCGAAGTTGCAACCATCTGTCGGGATGCTGCTCCAGGACACGCTTCGCTTGTTCCGAAACCGAGTGAGGATCCGACGCAGGAGAAACGTCTTCCCAAGAATCCTTCTGCATGTTGTTCTTGTGGATCTGCAGGGACTTTTCGCCAAGGGACGCGAACCGAGAATCAACGTCTGTCTGACGAGGACCGCTTGGTTGAGTGGACAAGAGATTTCTCATCTCCTTCTCGTAGGGATAGCATCTCATGCGTTTGACATTCGGGTCAAACTTGTTTCCTCGTTCGAGTGCATCGCGCGTGATCTTCCTGGAGAAGGTAGTGACAAGCACTTGACCCTTTTCGACGCGCTCTCGCTGGACAGGTACAGCACCCGTATCTGTGCCATGTTCCGTCCAAGGTTCGTTCGCTGAATCACCGGCGACCTCAGCGGTGCCAGGCTCGGCGCCGCCGGCGGTTTGCTCTTCATCGGTGGAAGCAGCAGGTTCCTCGTCATCGTCGTCATCGGATTCGTCAGGCATTGTGGCTTCACTAAGGTTAGTGACATGACTTGAAAGAAGAGCAGAGTACTTACTGTTGTGATAAGCGGCGATCTTCTGTCTATGCGTACGACGGTACACCTTTGAGACCGCTTTGCTGATCTCGATCTTGCGCTGACGCTCTTCTTCGCGACGGCGTTCACGGACGGAATCTCGATGAGCGTCGTTGATGTCCTCATACTCATCAGGGAGGGGATCATGGGTGTTGATGTCGTTCGCGAAGTCTGTCTCGAAAGCTTCTGGAGCGACTTCCCCGCGGGCGCATTGGGGGACAGTGCGGGCCACGTGTGAAGTCAACGCGTCTGCAATGTACGACTTGCCGGAGCCAGGACAACCAGTCAGGGAAAAGATGCCGTCGGTTGTGCGCTTCAAATCACGGAGCAGCGCAGCCCATTGTCCCTGATAGCCTGGCCTCGGACGGGGAGGGACCAACTTTTCAAACCCAAAGATTGCAAAAACGTCGCGCTCTTTGACATGGACAGCGTGCTTGTTGAAGTTTGCCGAGTAGTTCTAGTACCTGGACAAAACATCTGCTGGACCCGGGTTGTTCAATGCCTGCACAGCGCTGGCTTCGTGCTTGGCTGTGGAGGTGAGCACGCTGGGCTGGATTGTGCCGTTGACGAGGTATTTCTTCGGTACACGACCGGTTGAAAGCTTGTCACAGAAGTCTTGCAAAGTGCCTTGTATTTTCCAGAAAGGCAAACCGGTGTTCTTGGGAGGAGCTGTGTAGCACGAAGCCCACCTTTCATCCTTGGGAATGACAGCAGAGAACATGGCAACACGACCAGAGATACCCGCGGGGAGCGGCAATCGGCGTGCGGGAACTTCGAGTAGCTCCTCAGCCTCTGGCGTCGATTGCTGCGGTACGCCGTTGCTCCGGATCCATTTGCCGATTTCGATGACCATGTCTGCATCCTCATTCTTGAGATGCATGTTGAGCCAGGATATGCCCAGATCCACTGCAGAGACGATCTTCAGCGTGCGTTCGACCTCCAGCCTGGGTTCGCCATCGACATTGTTGACCAGTCGCCGAGCTTCTTCAGTCGGACGGTTGACGAAGTCCGTGAGACGTTCGGCCAAGAGTTTGCAGGCGAGCCTGTGACGAAAGTGAGTTAGATCATCTTTGGCGTCAGAGTACTTTTCTTGCTCTGCCTCAGTGTTCTGACGCATGCCCTCAACTTGCTTCTCCTTGTTGTCGTAAGCAAGGTCAATCTCGCTAGCAACGTTTCGCACGATGCTTTCCACCTGCTCTGAGAGTGACTGATGAATTGCTCTGGTCATCTCAATGTTGTCAGGTCGTTGACGAACAACCTCCTTCTGACGAAGCTTGATCAAGCATGTCTTGTCTTCGGGGGGCAACCGGTAGTTCGCAGTGACCAAGCAGAAGAGCGTCATTTCAGTCGGTGAATTGTCGGCGAGAATACCGTACGTGACGAGATCGTTCTCCGTGCTTGTCCACAGCTCATAGGGAGAGGCAGACGCGACGAACGGGATCTCAACAGTTTCCATCTTTTTCGCGATTTCGACCTCGTAGTTGATGGCGTCAGTACTTCCTCCGATGAGAGCGCAAGTCTGGTGAGTTTGGTCCTTGAAGACGTACACTCGGGGCGTGGACTTCAATGGGCGTGACGCTTCCAGATTGAAACTGGAGAAGGAGAGATCTTGATAACGGAAGTTGCAATTGCTCATCAGAGGATTGAAGACGTGCGCATCCCCAGAGAACTGTAGAAGATTGTCCCACATCTCAGTTGCGAGAGGGCTATCGTCAGTGGTGATGGTGAAGTGGAACTGCTCTGACGAAGCAAAAAGAGCCTTGAGTGTGTTGTGAATGTCTTGACAATAAGAAACACGAACATTGTCGTTCCAGTGAAAAGCCACGTCGCCACGGTTGAGCGCCAACTGGACAGAATTGACAGAGGCACACTTCAGGAGCATGAGCTGGGCAGGTTCCATGTTTTCTTCCGTACAGTCTGGACCGAAAGCCGACAGATCTTCGAAAGGATTAGTCTTGACTGGCTTGTTGTTGTCAAGAAGACCTGCAATCATGTCGTGGTCATCTTGGCCGAGAGAAAAGGCGGAACGAAGCCAATCTGTTTGGTCGGTCGAGATCGTTTCTCGATTAATCGCCGTTGCACTGCCCAGGTAGGCGACGATTTTGAGGATTGACTGAAGCTCGCCGCCATCCCGAATTGAACAAGAAATGGTGATGCTTGGGGGTGAGTACTGGGCAGCTCTGTAATCAACTGTCGTGGTCAGACCTTTGCCGGGACCAGCACCGACATGAGCCAAGGTCTTGGGAGAATAGCCTTTGATCAGTGCACCGTTGAGATGAACGAGAGCCGGGATGTTGTGAGAATCACCACTTCGTCGAATCGAAATGGGATCACAAACTTTCCCATCGTCCTCGGGCAGAGGCTGACCAGCAGCATTGGCTGCGACACGAGCTTCGGCTATTGCAATGTGAGTTCATGTAGAGAAAAATGCATACAAATGTACGTACTTGTGCGAATCAGCTTGTTCTCAATGTCAAGGTAAACAATTTGACCTCCTGGAAGCTCAACGCTGCGAATGGCAAACTTCTCTGGGTTTGCGACTTGATGCTTGTCCAAAACGACTTGTTCGCCGTTGTCAAGGAGCAGAGTGACATCGCCATCATCCGTGCCATGCTTGGGGGCTACGTAGATATTATTAGCCAGATGTCAGAAAGAAGAAACAAAGCCACGTACATTGAGAACGGTCCTTATCCTGGGACTTGCGCTGAAGCTCGGCTTCCCTGCGAGCCTTCTTCTTGTCGTCTCTGGCTTGCTTGCGGGACTTTGGGGGTCCGTTCTCATGATCGAATGCAGCGAAAGGAGACATGATTGTACTAATTAGAGACTTGAATGTGATCTTTGAGAGCAAATAGAGGGTAGAAAGCTCTTCGCGAAGTAGAATCGGGTCTCGAGAGCCTTGTTATTCTTGGATGAAGAGGAGAGAAGAAGGAAAAAATGGCAGTGAGTGTGAACTGTTCCTCAAATATGAGACTGAGCAGTTCGAAGTGAGGGGTTGCTGATTTCAAAACAGAAAAATTTTCTTGTGCGTGAACAACATCAGACGACCTCTGTTGGTGTCAATGAAGCTGAGATCTCTGCCTGAGGCGAAAACGACGTGGCTGGCGGTGCAGACGTTCTGCCTGACGAGTCGATGGGGGTGAATTTCCAAAGGGAGAAGCAAAATACTCAACTTCCCGCAGGAAGCCGACCAAGTGACTTGGAGAGACCAAACAAACCCCCCTCTCCTTGTCAGCAAGGCCGGACAGGCACTAGGCTGCGCTTTCCATAGTGACCTGATAGGTTCACCTCTATGCTTTCCGGGAGTCCTCACCGTTCAGATCATAGAGGCGCCATCCGCCGAATAGTCAGGCCGTGAGGTAGCCTGATGCGCATCAACGGAAGTCTGGGTTACAAGCTGTTCTTTAGCTTGCCCCAACAGGACAGCAACTCAAGAGAGGCTGCCCTTACTGCTCACCAGCACGAATGGTGGGTCCTCGCAGTTTGTGGCTTGCTCCAACGAACTCTTTGACAGGCCCCTTCATGTTGATGTTAATCAGTGTGCATGGGCAACGTGCGTTGGGCTTACCGTAGTTCTTGGATTGGTGGCGAGCTAGGAGTGCGGAACGCGTGGGAAAGCGCCCTGGACGTATCTAGAGATTTTAGCAATGGCCTGAAGAGCGTTGATTGACAGGTTCTCACTTGGTGAGCTTATGGCGCAGGGCTGAGAGAAGCATGGGGAGCAGTCGCGATGTGCGTGTTGGTCCTTGGACAGCACCCAAGAAGAAAGGCTTCAATGAGAAATTGGCCAAGTCGGCGAGGCAGCGTGGCGAAGAGAGAAGCAGCGGGCATCAGGAATGAGCTCGTTGATGAAGAAAGGCAGAGAGGATGATGAGGGCAAGACTCGACAGAAAATTGTTGGCTTCTCTGTAGGTACTTAGGTTCGAGACACCTTGGTTGGCGTTGCCCCACCAACGGAAATACTTACTAAGCACGACGTTAGTACTCGTACTCACCTGGTACTTACTACTAGTAGTAAGTACTTAGTACTACTACCTTACTACTAGTAGTAAGTACTTAGTACTACTACCTTACTACTTGTAGTAGTACTACTAGTTGAGTACTTGGGGTACCTTGGTACCTGATGGATTGAGTTGTCCCAGTTGACTCTGTAGCCCCCTGTTCCCCCTGCAGTCTGTACACTGCCCGTGGACGGTGGACCTCCATGTCTTTCTACATGTACGTGCCTTAAGTACTAAGTACCTACGAGGGGATCGCGTTTTTTCGTGACGGCTGAAAAACGGCTCTATGACCGGTCAGCGAGCCGTCATAGACGGCCGAAGCGTTATATGACGGTCTTAATGTTCGTGACCGTCACGGCCGAGATAGGAAAGAACACCTTCTCTTTTCGCCGAACTTCACTCGAATCTAGCTGCCGAAAGGAGCCTCTACGAAAAGATCTAGAATACCTATATTAATACACTAAAAGCCGTTTATTAGAAACTTTCGAAAAAAATACGATTAGAGCTATTTTTAGCCTAAAAGGTTAAGGTTTAAGTAAAATAGCTTTTCGGGCTGTTCACGCCAACAGGTCATGGATCGTTAACACGGTCGCATGAAGATTAGCCGTCTTGAAAAAACGCCATCCCCTCGTAGGTATGTAAAGAGGCAATAAGAGGAAGTTCTTTGAATTGTCCAATGCCTTCGCAGCAGTCCATAACCACCCCATACGTCGAATACATCCTTGCCATTCAGCTAAAGCACTCTTTCAAGCCGCGTCAAGAGGCGATCGACGGTCTTTGCTAGCGGAAATAACGTTCCCGCTGCCGCCTGATCACAAAACTCTTGAGAGTATTTCAACCTCCCAGGTTCAAGACTATAAACCTTGCACTACTATGTAGTAATGAATACTCTAGAAAAACAACTGTTTCACCGCCTCACTGTCGGGCACAGATGTTCCGATAGCATCGGACCCAAATTCAGGCTCTGAGCCCATCGAGCGCTCTGTCTTGCAAGTGTCGAATCCGTATTCTCTCTGGACTTGAAAGACCAAGCAGACCAAGCCTTGTACACCATGTCAATCACATCTCAACATATACCCGCACAGCAATGACAACATGTCATATATGATCACAACCCGATGCGCGCTAACCTAGCTTCAGTTGGTGTGGACACCTTAGCTATCGAACCCATAAGTATCTCCGTTAATTATATCGTCAGTCCGACAGTGCCATCATGATCCACGACTAGGTCCAGGGCCCATGCGGCGGTTGGTCGACAGCCGCCCTGTAATCCCCATGCTGCGAGGCAAGCGCAGCTGTTTCTGTAGTATACGAGGAAGAGTGTCTGCAGACTCCAGAAGGACGCTCGTCAATAACAGCCCCTCCAACTCTGCCACTGTGACCCTCACAGCTCACCCCAACCCAACAGCCCCTCGATGTGAATCCCGACGCGTGGCGCGACCGGTGTCTCTCCATGATTACCGATAAAAGACTATGCTTGGCGTCCGGAAATGCTTTGTTCCATCCTCCTCCTTTTCCTCCTTGCAGCCAAGACAGAAGTAGCCCCAGTCGGCCTGCCGCCCAGCATCCCACAGGTGCGGCCAGGCGGTACAGTACCGCCTGGGCAGGCTCAGGATGCTCGGAGGGTTCGCCGCACGCAAGAGTCGGCGGGCGGTGATGGCCTTGCGCTGCTGCGTCACGTCGGGAGAGAAGAAACGCGATGCTTGTCCAATTGTGAGGGGGAAGTACTCCTGCCACATGGTGAAGCAGAGATAGCAAACGCGGCGGCAGTCGATGAGGTAGAGATGATCGCCAAAGCGCTGGCACGTCGAACATCGGTGTGTGCTGAGGGTTCGGTACAATGTGCCACAATCGAACGCGTCTGCCTGGATGCTGAGAATGGCGCGGATGATGTTGGGGCACTGCTTGATGAGGGCGGCATACTGGGGGATCGAGTCGACGAGCTCCAACGCGCGGCGGTTGACACGACGAAAGTGAATCAGCGAGGGGATGTCGATGTGCAGCAGGACCATGATGAGAAGCTCTGCTGGGAGCTGGTCGAGCTGGCCAGCGGAACGACGCCCGGGGATGGAAGCGTCGGCGAGTCGTCCATCGTCAAGCGGACATCGCGTCTCCAGCTGCGCGTTGTCCAAGGTGTTGTCGCAAATGTTTTGCTTCGTGTAGAAGGGGAAATCGGGCAGATCAGGGAGGGGGTTCTCCATGGCGAGAGCGCTTTGAGACCTGGTTTCTTGATCCTGTTATTGGTCATTGAACAGCGCGAGAGGCTGATGCGATGGTCAACCCCAGTCATGGTGCGTGACTGGTCATTGTTCCGGTTTGATGTGTGACGATGCTGGCTGTAAGTTTGGGTGCCTTGAATTGGATGATGGTCTGGTGGCCTTTGGTTTTGCTAAACCAATATCCAAGATATATAGTTAACCAATTCCTTGAGACAGAGGCCGTATTCAACCATATGAAAAGCATTAACGAAGACTCATAAAGTTAAGCATGATGAATATAGTTATTTACTACGAATTCGGGTGATATATTGTGAAAACAAGTAAATCGTAATTACCAGGTAGGTCATTTGGCGTAATTACATGCATCTGTATCCGTACCTACCTACCCTATACTAGAGTCCGCCGCGATGACGGTGCGTAGTCATCCGGGGTCGTCCGTCCATTGCCGACGCGACTTTACACATCTTTCAACAACGGCGCAAAGATTTTTCTCGCAGCACCTTGGGCAGCCGCCACACCCTGCGGTGCGAGGACAATGTTCATTTTCAGGCATTGTGAGTAGCGCTGATACATAGTGCGCTCGGCGATCATCATACTGACTCCTTTTTTCCCGCAGGCTGACAGAGCCATCGAACACACGACGACGACGACGACATCATGCCACCCCATCTCCATCCCCGGTCCCGAATGACCTCGTCGCTATTTGCCTCGACGCTCGTCGCCTGCTTCTTCGTCGTGGCGCTTCCACACATGCTGCCATGCCCCGTCCCCGCCAAGAAGTTTGCCGACGGACAGGTCATGGTGGACGAGAACGGGAGGAGGAAGGTCTACCGCCGGCGCGAGAGCCCAGACGAGACCAAGAGCGGCATTGTACAGTTTAGCGAGGATATTGAGAGTGGGAAATCGGTCAAGAGAGAGTGTCCGGTCCCACGGCCAGGCGGCATGCTCGGCGAGTGGCTGGGATTCCACAGCGAGAACGGCACAGAGTCAAAAGATGCGAATGGTCATAATAATACTAGGTGACAATGCGAAATCAGAAACACCAAGATACAAGTCCCGCGAGCTCGAGACGGATGTGTGGTTGTGATGGGGATGCCTTGTGAAGATGCAGCGCGCGTGCAAGACGCAGCCGTGCTTCTGGCATAGTCATTGCCAGGAAGCGAGTCGGTGCTCGGTAGCTTAATGGCAACGCGGTTTGGCTATACTTCTTCACTCTCGATTTGGCGAGTCGCGAAACGGTGTAGCTGAGGCAAGACTTGTCGCAGACGGAGAGTATGCCTCACGTAGACGTGCATCGGCAACGCAACGCATCACGGAAAGTTACCGCACTCCGATGCCGCGTACGTAGTAGCGACGCTCCACTTCAAGTGGTCAGCATTAGCAAAGCTGCGACTTGTCAGTTGTGCAGCTCAGCTGCAGTGCAGGCTGTATGTATTGCTATTCCGGCCTATCCAGCCTCTTCGAAACATCTGCCTGTCACTTCAATGTCTTGCCACGGCTCCTCGATGTGTTCAGCAGGCCTCCGGACCAATGCTCATGTATTGAACATATACGTACGTACAATAATTATACGTACTACGTATTACCTACCTAGCATTCGTCCAGGATAAGATAGGTATTCGACCGGACTCGATGGCTTCTCGGTTTGCGTGGGCCTCCAGTCATCCAGGCGGCTCCACGATTCGTCCGCAGCAGTGCAGCTGCCGTACGCCCAGAAAGGGAAACGTGCCCTGATTCCTCGGCCGCACATCGCATTTGCACCATGCAAGATCCGACGGACCGAAATGCGAATCGCCTCTGCTCCTGATCCACACGCTCCATTAAAACTTTCTGGGCCAAGAAGAGCAGCACAATTTTACGAGGCCGATTAATTTACAGGTCTATGTCGGCAAGGTGAAGTCGGTGTGTGCGCGTCTTGGCATGTGGTATTGGAGATGACGACAGATTCGTGAGGCCTCATTTAGATGTCCATGCCCCTTCTCACAGCCACCTCTGCAAATGCTCGACGGGGATCAGTGATTGATGTTGTGCCGTGACCAAGGCAGCCATTCCGACGTTGCACAAGAAAGCCTTCTGCGGAAGAGCATCAACGTCCGACGTCAATGCACCTTCGAGGCGTGCAGATCTGTGATGATGGGCTGTCAATGGCTCATTGCACATAAATGCGTGCTGCTTGTCGCGGAAAGGCAAGCTGTCACGAGATCTAATGGCCAAGATGGAATTGAGGATGGTAATTATTATTTTCGGCCCCCCCAAAATGACGCTCCGCTGCTGACCGCGCTGCTCATGGTGGTGGGCGAGCGTCACACCACCAAACTCTGAGGACTGGACCCAGGAACAGAGCCCGGCGCACTGAACAGTGATTAATTAGGGTCGCACTTGTAGCTACCGGCTTGGCGAGACCTCGCTCGATCGATGCAACCCTCCATCTGCCGTACCTCCTTTCTAATTCTGTGCTTTGAGTTTGTGATCCAGAACGACGAGGAGCTGCCTGCATGTGAGTCAATGATGCTGCACTACTGCCGCTGCATGTCTGACCGACAAACGCATTTATTTCATGCCTGAAGCTAAGGTAAGGAGCTCCGTTCTCAGCTACGCCAAGTCAGCCTGACTGAGCAAGCCAAGCCAAGCCCCGGTGAGATCAGATAGGTGAGCAAGGAGATCTGCCTCTGCTGGGCTAACTCCTTGTAGCCGCGGCATGCACCTCCAGTCCCCTCATTGCTCGATGCAGTGACTGGAAATAGCGGTCAGACAGTGCTGGCAAGTCAGCCAAGAGATGCTTGAGCCACGTCCAGTCTCTCCAGCTGGCTGTTCAGTTCCTCGACTGGAGGTTACGGGAGCCAGCCTCGAAATACTGGTCTGACGTTGACATTGGAAAGAAACAGGGCCGGACCATGAACAGATCTGCTGTGCAGCCTGCGCTTCTAAAACAAGGAACGGGGGACCATGCTTGGCCTGGCCCTCCAGGCGGCTTAGCGGCTTAGCCCCTCCCCTGATTAGGGGTCCCCCACTCCAGTCTTGGGCCCTGGGCTTGGCTAGACCGGGCCTCCAGCCAGAGCCCAACCAGTTCTCGTATTTTCACCTCCATTTCCTTCCAGGTGCTGTCTCGGGGCTACTCGATGGCACAATATTTATGACAGCAGCACACCCACCACCCCTTAAGTTACGTACCACTATTTACAGTCAGTCGCGGATGATCCGTATAAATTCAAATATAGCTCCTTCTGTCCTCCTTTACCCAGTCCCCCATCCACTGTTGCTGCTCGCGTGCTTCCCACCCGTCACTCGTTCATCGCCAGTTCACCGTACCTTACACCATCGACCGACCCAGCTGGCTAGCTTGACGGATGTAAATTCGCGAAACATACTATACCCGCCTGGCCAAAACATGAGAGCGGCCTCTCCCTCCTTTCGACGACCAGAAGAAGAACTTCGAGACACATTTTACAGCAACTGCCATCTACCAAGATGATGCGCCAGAGCGAGAAGAGACAGGGCCGTATGCCGCCGTCGGAGGAGGAGGACGATGACCACAGCTACTTCACATACCGCCCCCTGTCCAACCTACCGACACCCCCGCCGAGCTCCCGCGAGTCTTCCTCTACCCTCGACTACGACGTGCACGAGGGCGATCCCGAACTCTTCAAATTCAGAGGTCCGTTTTTCCCTGACCTGGTGTCCGAAACTCCATCGCTCGTCAGGTACCCGAGAGTGACTTCTTTAGTGCTGAGCTAACAAAACCTACCCAGGCCCCGCCATCCACCTCGTCAACCTCATACCCTCATCGGCCTCTCTCGCCGACGCCTCTGTCCCTTTGGTCCAGGCCCTTCTCGCCCGCTGCCAACTCCCGCTCGAGACCGTCGCCCTGGCCGTCTGCATCCTCGACGCCCTCGACGCGCGCTTCGCCCGTCACTGGCGGGTCTCCTGCCCTCTCGCCACACCAAAGCAGAGCAAGCGCCACACCCTGCCGCCTAGCCCGCACACCGCGCAGCTTCTGCACATTGACTCGGTCGCGCCCGAGGTCATCATTCTCTCGGCGCTGGTGGTGGCCGCCAAGTTCACCGAAGATCCGCAGGAGAGCACGGGCTACTACGTCGACCGCTGGGGCCGCGGCCAGTGGACGGCAGCTCAGCTCAACGCGACGGAGCGCTGCATCATGGAGTCGCTCAACTACCGGATCATGCCGCTCACGGAGGACGCGTGCATCGCCGACGCCATGGTGGACATGCAGCTCGCTGGCCGGCAGCGGAGCCAGGGCTGGGACCCGCGGCAGCTTACGCCGCCCGAGAGCTGCAGCGAGGACGAAGAAGAGGAGGACGTCGCTCCCGTGGCTGCCACCGTGTTTGTTCCCGCGCATAGCCGGGCCAAGACGATGGTGACGGTGGGCGTGACGGCCTTTGATTTTGATGCGTCCGACGTGACGACGCCGCTGGCTTGATTCTTTTTCTCTCTCGGGTTTGGGCTTCTTTCATCATCTGGCATGGCAGGCATGGCGTTTGGTAGTGTTTATGATATCCCTCGGTTATTCATATAGTACATCTTCCTTAGTCAGGAAGGGAAGCTGGCCGTATAATTTGGGTGCACAATATAAGGCGACCTTTATTAATACCTCAACTTTCAATCATTGATAGCACAACAACGCCTCTTCGCAGTATTGAAAGGACTAGGGCGCTCGAATCGCCTAGTTGAGGCGGCCATATACGTACATATTTGCACGACCGCAGCCTTATACCGTAGGAAGAAATTGTTAGCAAGAGTTGACACACTTGATGTGCGGGGCTTCCCTTCTAGAAGGGAGGCGTAGGGTAATCAGCAAATCGCAGGCCTGTAAGCATCATCGATGTTCTGACAGACGAGCCGCCTCAGTTTCACAAACCCCAACATCATTGGGAATCCCAATGCTGAGAACACCAATCCGTATCCTCTCTTCGCGACGCAGTTTTCGCTCCACAGCCATGGCTCTCCACTCAGAATCGTCCAAGCTCATCTGTACGTAGACGCCCATCATGGCCCCCCTCCCCTCTCAGCTCACACTCACACTGCACGACCAGTCTCCCCCTCGGGCTCCGGCCAGAACCAGCAGGCACCCCAATTCACGAGAGCTACCCTCTCCGTCGCGGACCTAGATCCGTCCTCGCCCATCCCCCAGTTCCACACCTGGTTCACCCAGGCGCAGGCGTCCAACGCCATCCCCCACGCCGAGGCCTGCGCGCTGTCGACGGCTGAGCTGCCCTCGGGCCGCGTGAGCAGCCGCATGGTCTACCTCAAGGAGCTCGACGCGGCGGGCGGCTTCGTCGTGTACAGCAACTGGGCCACGAGCCGGAAGAGCAAGGACGTCGCCACGAACCCGCACGTCAGCCTGCTCTTCTGGTGGGAGACGCTGCAGCAGCAGGTCCGCGTCGAGGGCACGGCGTCCCGGCTGCCGCGCGAGGAGAGCCAGAAGTACTACGACACTCGCGTGCGAGGCTCGCGCATCGGTGCGTGGGCGAGTCGGCAGAGTGAGGTGCTCCAGCCGCAGGATGAGCAGGACGACGGGCGGAAGCAGCTTGAGGGTTGGGTGCGCGAGTACGAGGACAAGTTCGAGGGGCAGGAGGCCATCCCCGTGCCCGAGTTCTGGGGCGGCCTGCGTGTCGTGCCGGAGCGGGTCGAGTTCTGGCAGGGCCGGGAGAGCAGGCTTCACGATCGGTTTGAGTATGTCAAGGACGGTGACAAGTGGACGCTGCAGAGGCTGAGTCCGTAGTGAGATGGGGGCAAATACACTCAATAAGAAGAATACAAAAAAAAAATCAAAAAATCACTGGCTTGCGAGGAGCAGCGTTGTTAGTAGACGATGAGGTTATCGTCGCTGTAGTGGAACCCGACCTAGACACAGACAACACACAAAACATACACATACGTACATACATACATACACGCCAAACGCACAGATATTAATTCGTGATATTCATGGTAAACATATAGTCAACGCCGTCAACGTACATATAACGTACGGATGCTCCTGAATAACGCCATGCACAACGTCGCCGTTGGATCTTTATAGTAGGTATCAATCAAAAACGACACAGCAATCTCGAACATCTAGTTTGTTTTCCCTCCCTGCAGTATCCCAATCTTTACCCCAAAACATTCCCATCATATCATATTATTCCAGTCTACGCCATGACCAGAGCCAACAAGGCCATGCGGCAGTATAGACCGTAACGCATCTGCAGGATCAGTTAGTGGAGATCCAAAGAGACCAAAGAAGGAAAAACTCACCTGTCTAAAGTACGCCGCGCGCTGGTCAAAGTCCACCTCCTCGGCCACCTCCTCGTTGCGCGGCAGCGGGTGCAGCACCACCATGGAGCTCTTGGCGTGCTTGAGCGCGGCATTGTCCACGCGGTACGACCCCTTGACGCGCTCGTACTCCTCCTCGCTGGCGAACCGCTCGCGCTGCACGCGGGTGCAGTACAGGACGTCGCTCCGGGCCAGGATCTCGGGCGTCAGCGTCTCCGACTCGCTGATGAGCTGGTTGGATGACACGAGCTGCGCCCGGACGGCCTCGGGCAGCTCGAGACCCTGCGGCGCGACGAGCTGCACCTTGGCGCCGTAGTGGCGGAGCAGGTAGATGAGCGAGTGCACGGGACGCCCGTACTTGAGGTCGCCGACAAAGGTGATGTTGAGGTTCTGCACCGTGCCGAGCTCCTCGCGGATCGTGTACAGGTCGAGGAATGCCTGCGTGGGGTGCTCCTTGCTGCCGTTGCCGCCGTTGATCACGGGCACGTGGCTGTACTTCTCGGCGGCCTCGACCGAGTTCTCCAGAGGGTGTCGAAGGACGATGGCGTCCGCGTACGAGCCCAGCGTGCGGAGGGTGTCCTTGAGGGACTCGCCCTTCTGTACGGAGGAGTGGGAGGTGGCCACGGGGATGACACGTCCTCCTAGGCGCTGCATGGCCGCGTCGAAGGAAGCAGAGGTGCGGGTCGAGGGCTCGTAGAAGAGCGTGCTCAGAACGCGGCCACGGAGGACGTCCAGGACACCCTCGCGCTGGACACCGAGGCGCATCTCCTGGGCGACGGTGAAGAGCTGGTGCAGATCCGCTCTGGTGTACTGCTTCACGGACAGCACGTGGGAGTGCTTGAAGGCAGACGGCTGCGACAGCGCCTGCTGGAGCGAAGAGCTGGGCGACAGCTGCAACCTGGCAGGCAGCGAAAAGTCCTCCACGGGACGGCGCGTGGGCGACATGGCCGCAGCATCGAGCAGGGTGTGCTGACGAGGTCGGGAGGGGCTCTCGGTGATCTGCGCGATCGAGGACGTCGTGGGCCTGACGGTCGGCGAGGTAGGAGGGGCCAGGTGCGCCGACATGTCCTTGCCGGTGGCCTGCATGGACAGGAACTCGCCATCGAGGCAGACGGTCTGGTCGTGGAAGGTGACGCGCTTGACGGAGCCAAACATCTGGCGGCCGTTAAAGGGCGACCAGGTGGCAGACTGGAAGGTGTAAGGGCGGTCCACCTCGACCTCAATCGACGTGTTGACCTGCTCGTGGAGCTCAAAGATCTCCACGGGCTTCTGGTACAGACGCAGCTTGATGTCGTCAATGGTCAGCTTGCCCTGGGCCACAGAGGTGAGCAGCAGGGGAAGCGCCTCGGTGATGCCCATGGACGGGTCGCCCTTGTGGCCGCGCGAGGTCGCCAGGTGGTACGGCAGGCTGCCGATCGAGAAGACATCGATGCTGCTCATGTGCGCCCAGAGGGCCGCCTGGTCCTTGGCTGTCGGCAGGTGGTCAAAGTCAGGGTAGTCGTCCCGGTTCAGGTACAGCGAGTAGATGGAGACGTCGCAGGTCACCTTGAGTCCCTTCTCCTTGCTGAGCGCGATCAGGCGAATGTCGTCCTTATTGGTGACCGAGCTGACGTGGATGCGGCGGTTGTGCAGACTGGCCAGCAGCAGGATCGAGGCAAGATCCGTCAACTTGGCGTCCGTGACAATGGGCTTGTGCGCGGGCCAGGCGTCAAAATGCGCGGTGACGGCAGCCACCTTGCTGATGTTGCCCGACAGATGGTTAAAGGGGATGAACAGCGAGCCCACCTCGCCCGAGACGGTGCTGATCTGCGACTCATTGTCTGAGGTAGCGGAGATGGACAGGTTGAAGTCGCTGAAGCCACCCTTTCGAGCGTTCTGCTGCGCCGTCTTGAGCGAGATGGCGTCGGTGATGGAGCCGTCAGCGCCCATGGGCATGACCCTAATCATGCTGAAGCCCGAGGAAATGGAGCTCTTGGTGACGGTCTGCACGTCTTCGCTGCCTGGGGTCACAATGCCGGGGATGAAGGCCGCGACGTTGATCAAGCCGGGGAGGACCACGGTGCGGTGGCTGGTCTGGTAGTCGCGCTTCGACACCTCGAGCTCGAACTGGCGGGCAATGGCCTCGACGAGAATCTTGGCGTTCTTCACGTTGGTTACCAGAGGGATCTGGTAGTCGACGGCCATGCGGCGCGTCTGGTACCCCTTGCTCATATAGTTGGCCGGACGGCGGTACTTGTTGTTGGAGGGCAGGTTGATGTACAGATCAATCCTGTTCTTGGCCAAGTGCTGCGTCAGCGAGAACTCGGAGTTGCGGTCCTCATCGCTGCCCAGGACCTCGAGGTACTGGACCGGGATGCCGTACTCCTGCAGGAAATCAGCCGTGCCCGAGGTGGCAAACAGCTTGTAGCCAATCTTCTGGAGCTTCTGCACCGAAGGCAGCATCTCCTTCTTGTCCTTGTAGGAACCAATGGAGAGCAGAATGTTGGCCTTGGGGATCTTGAAGCCCGTCGAGAGGAGGGCCTTGAGGTAGGCCTCGTTCTTGTCGACACCGAAGCAGGCAACCTCACCGGTGGAAGCCATCTCGACACCGAGGACGGGGTCGGCACCAGCCAGGCGCGAGAAGGAGAACTGCGGCACCTTGACACCGACGCAGTTGGGGGCCAAGTCGGTGGGCGGGTAGGCCTCAAACGGCTGGTCCATGATGGCCTTGGTAGCCATCTCGATCAGGTCAACACCCATGACCTTGGACACAAAGGGGAAAGAGCGCGAAGCGCGGACATTGCACTCAATGACCTTGATGTCGTTGTCCTTGGCGATGAACTGGATGTTGAAGGGGCCGGTGACGTTGAGGGCGGCACCGATCTTGCTGGTGGCCTCCTCGATGCGTCGGATGGTGGTAGGCTCGAGATCCTGGGGAGGCAGGATGAGAGTCGCGTCACCAGAGTGGACACCGGCGTTCTCGACGTGCTCGGAGATAAAGTGACCGATCATCTTGCCGTCCTTGGCCACGGCGTCCATCTCAATCTCCTTGGCGTTCTCAATGTACTTGGTGATGACGACGGGGTGCTCGCGGGAGACCTCGGCGGCCTGCTCGAGGTAGCTCTTGAGATCCTTCTCGGAGTAAACCGTGTTCATGGCAGCACCCGAGAGCACGTACGAGGGGCGGACCAGCACGGGGTAGGTGACCTTTTGGCAGAACGCCTGGGCCTCCTCGAAACTGGTGAGCTCCTTCCACGTGGGCTGGTCGACATCAATGCGATCCAACATGCGAGAGAACTTGTAACGGTTCTCGGCATTGTCAATCATCTCGGGGGAGGTGCCCAGCACCTTGACGCCAGCGCGGTGCAGCGGCAGGGCAATGTTGTTGGGCGTCTGGCCACCCATGGCACCTAGGACACCGCTGGCATTCTCGAGCTGGTAAATGTCGAGGACTGTTTCGAGGTTGATGTTCTCAAAGTAGAGCTTGTCGGCCTCGTCGTAGTCGGTGGACACCGTCTCAGGGTTGTAGTTGACCATGACGGTCTTGAAGCCCGTGGCGCGGAGGGTGCGGATGGCACGAACGGAGCACCAGTCGAACTCGACGGACGAGCCGATACGGTAGACACCAGAGCCGAGGACCATGACGCCGTGGTCCTCAAAGTCGACATCGCTCTCCGAGGCGTTGTACGTCAGGTACAGGTAGTTGGTGAAGGCGGGGAACTCGGCGGCGACGGTGTCAATCTGCTTGACAAAGGGGTGGATGCCAGCCTCGAGCCTGAGTCGGCGGACGGCGATCTCGTTTGAGTTCCAGAACTTGGCGAGCTGGCGGTCCGAGAAACCGAGTCGCTTGGCCTGCAGGAGAATGTGAGGCGACTGGGCAATGTCGCTGGTTGTGTAGTTGCCCATCTCCTTGCCAAAGTTGCTCAAGCCCTTGAGCTTGCGGAGGAACCACTTGTCAATCTTGGTCAGCTCCCAGATCTTGTCGACTGTGTAGCCCTCGTGCATGGCGTTGGCAATGGCGAAGAGACGCTGGTCAGAGGGCGTCTGCAGCTCGTCGTCAATCTTCATGAGCGCCTTGGTCTCGTTGAAGCCAAGGTTGTGGAAGTCGATGGATCGAATCGCCTTTTGGATGGCTTCCTCAAAGGAGCGACCAATGCTCATGACCTCGCCAACACTCTTCATGGACGAGCCGAGCTGGGTGGAGACACGAGTAAACTTCTTCAAGTCCCACCGAGGCATCTTAACGACGACGTAGTCGAGCGAGGGCTCGAAGCAAGCGCACGTCTCCTTGGTGACGGAGTTCTTGATCTCCTTAAGGGGAATGCCGAGACCGAGCTTGGCGGCAATGAACGCCAGGGGGTAGCCGGTGGCCTTGGAGGCGAGCGCGGACGAGCGCGACAGACGAGCATTGACCTCGATGATGCAGTACTCCCGGGAGAATGGGTTCAGCGCGTACTGAATGTTGCACTCACCGACAACGCCCAA